CTTGAAAAGCATAACTGCCTGCAATGTGTTACAGTCTCTGGGAAAATATTCAGCAGCAGACTTCCATGAAATGAACTGATGTGCACCCTCCTATTCTTCAGAGCCAATCTGTTATGCTTTGCTATCTGAACTGAAACAGAACATTGGGGTCTCCCAATCCCACCCCCAACAATATTAAATATATAGCATTTGAGCAGATGGTCCTTGCTAAAGAAAAAGCATCTTCCTCTAGCTCAGTGTTTCTCAACCTTGATAACTTTAACCTGGGTGGACTTCAACTCCCAGAATTCCCCAGCCAGGTTGTGAAACACTGCTCTAGCTGATGAAAACTAATATAGAATTGTAGGAGGAAAGATGGCTGTTCTCTTCATACGGCTTCCTGCTGTCTAAACACTTGGGAACTTTCTGGATGCATCTGGCCGTTCTTTCCTTCTTCCTTTGTCTTACTCTCAATTAAGCACAAGGCAAAACAAGCTCTTGTGTCCCCATTCCCCCTGAGTGGTGGGGTGCAGCAACCTTGAGGAGATGATTTGAAAGGTGCTAACACTGGGTGACAGTTGGACGCCCTGTATATTTATGAAACAGATGTTGTTTTGTGTTTCCATCCTTTTTTCAGAAGGGGGAGGGGGGAAGCTTCTGAATGCAAATGTTGGCTTCTGATGACTTATTCACTTCCTTTTCATGAGCAGAGGTTTTCAACTGAATGCAGCCATTCATCAGCATTCAATCTCCCGAAAGATGAAATCTCAGATACTCTGCTGAGTTTTCGATCGACTGGCATACAGTGTCATATCTGAGAGATTTGTTGTTGGTGCTTTTCTTAGTGTAGGAAAAATGAACTATAGAAGAGTTGCATTTCCTTGATGAGTTAGGAACGGGAGCATCTTTCTAAATAGTTCGGTTCCATTTTCCATCAGTCTATTTGTTCCTGCAATGAGATTCCTTCTTTGCAATGGAATACATTTGTTTTTGTTTTGTTTTCTTTCCAAGGAGTAAATTTAACTTTTGATCTTCTGAGCCTTTGATGTTCTCTTGGTCATCACAAATGGAGTGTCAACGGAGTAGCTTTTCGGATGCATAAATTTAAATCAATATATATGTAATACGCCAGATGGATACTGAAGGATGCACAAGCCATTTGTAAGTAACAAGGAGCAATGGATATAGCCATCCATGTTGCTGAGCTTCCTGAATGAAAATTCACAATAGTGAACCAGACTGATCATAGACAAACACTTCTTTTCTAAAGGATGTAGATCAAGGTTTTATAAATCTTCCATCCCTCCTTAAAAGTTTCAGCAAATCCATACAAGTCTCATCAGGAGTGGGGGAGGGGGAAGACTGAACTGCACATTTCTCACTTGAATTTACTTTTCAACTAAATCTGTTCTGCTATTTGTTGTCTTCTTCCCCAGCCTTCTGGAGTTTGCATCTGTTTGCCTCTAGGGTGTAAGAAATGAACAGAGGAATCCATACTAACACAATGTGTTTTCCCTTTCTCTCCCAGAGCAAATAATGATCTATGGACAGACTTTCACGCTAGTGTTTGCTCCATCTTCAAAACAATACCTAGTACAGTTTCGATATTATCAGGTTATTGTGAAACAGCCCAAGCTTCACCAAGTAAGGTGACAAATTCCATTAATAGACTCACAAAATCTGCTTCATCAATCTGCATCCGGTTTTGGTCACCAGATTAGAAAAAAGATATTGAGACTCTGGAAAGAATGAAGAGAAGAGCAACAAAGATGATCAGGAGGCTGGAGGCTAAAACATATCAAGAATTGCTGGAATTGGGTGTGTTAGTCTAGTGAAAAGAAGAAACAGGAGTGACATGATAGCAAGGTTCCAATATCAATAAACACCCAAGGTGTTTCCTAAGCACAGTTTCCTACTTCTCTGAATCCTACAGATGACCTGATTACTCCTAAAAGGTTTATTTTTTGTCCTAGTTTATCCTTTTGCATAAGTGACATTTGATTTGACCAAATGATTTTTTTTTTTTAAATCTCTCCTCCGGTGCCTGATATGCTCCAGGGAGAATGTTCTTTAATCTGCCTGGATGAGCGAATATCTTTTAGATAGATGCAGACAACTATTTAAATCGTATATATAAGATACACGGCTGCTTGGGATTCATCTCAATAAACTCCACCTTTACTGCAGTGAGGTTAATATGAACAATTAAATGCTCCCGGGGGGGGGGGGTGCCCATCTCAAGGAACTTAGAAAAAATTGCCACTTGTTAAATTGTTACTCACTTTTCGTTCTCAAGAAAGCCAAAGCTTTTTTCCTTAGGAATAGGTTATTTTAAAAGGAAGAAACAATCGCACAATTGCAATGTCATGCACTAAGAGAACTAAACCCAAACTGGCCCCAAGATAACTGCACTTAAATTTGCAGCTTTAAAGCATTAATTAAAATGAAAAATTGAATTAAGCCTGAACGCTCAAATTCCTTCAATGCAAGCGCTGTAATCCTACTTGTGTTCTACTCAAGCAAAACTGAAAACTTCTAGATTTCTAACCTGGATATCTTAGACCCAAAAGAAGCTACAGATACCTCCTCTTTTAACATAACAACACATCTAAGATCGGGTCCATACGTTCCTTTTTTTGCCGCTTAGTCCTATGAGAAGAATATTTGAACCAGGAATACAAAGACTGTTTAATGACCTTCTAAAATACTAGAAAAGAAGAGTGGGGGAAATACCCTACTTCCATGCACAGAAACCAGATTGCCTATCCTGATCTTCCCCAACCTAGAGTTCGCTACTTAACAGAATAACAGACTTGGAAGGGACCTTGGTGGTCTTCTAGTTCAGGGGTCCCCAATCCCTGGTTGGTGGACTGGTACTGGGCTGTGGCATGCCAGCAACTGGTCCACACAAGCAAGCAAAGCCCCATCCATGGGATGCAAGCAGTCCGTGGAAAAACCTTTCTCCACGGAACTGGTCCCTGGTTCGCAAAAGGTTGGGGACCTCTGTTCTAGTTGAACAAACAGTTATCCAATCTCTCCTTAAAAACCTCCAGTGTTGGAGCACCCACAACTTCTGGAAGCAAGTCATCTCAGGGATTGATTAATTAATTCTTCAACCTAGCATAGCCAACACAGATGGAAGATACCCAATTACAGAAATTCCCTGTCACTTTCCTGTAAATGCATACGCAGTCTGCAATAATAAAGTCTGAAAGAATTGAAGCTTAGATCTTCTCCATGCAAGGAAGCGTTCTAACTATGGTCCACTCCCTTCCCCCACCCAAATGGGGTGAGAATCTGGCCCTACTGAAGCCCAAGGTGACAACGGCATGGATGATGCCAATAGGCGGAAATAATTTTTCAATACATAGAAGCTCTGGATTCTTTCCCCCATCAGAATCCTTAAGCAGTACAGCTAATCAGCCTGTCACTTTATTATTGCCAATACTTCACAATGATGAAAAAAGCAGAGTGGGTGGAAAATATGTGGGTTATGAATTGCTTATTTAAGGTCACAATAAGAACTTGACATGAAGGATTTGTGTAGGTAGGTGCAACATTGTAAAATGCCAAGCATGAAAGTCAGGAAGGATGAAACCAAACAGCAAGATGTGGAATTTCCTTCTAAGGAGAGGACCCATAAAAACACCCCACATATACCCAGCCCAATTACAGCCCTATTGCGTGGGAGGATAGAAAAAAAATTAGGATATGGCTATACAGGTAGTTCTTGACTTATAAACCATTCATTTGGTGGCCATTCAAAGTTACAATGGCACTGAAAAAAGGTGAATTATTTTCACACTTATGACCATTGCAGCCTCCCCATGGTCATGTGATCAAAATCTTGGCAACTGGCTTCGATTTATGATGGTTTGCAGTGTCCAGGGGGTTGTGGGATCACCTTTTGTGACCTTCTGACCAGCAACGTCAATGGGGAAGCTGGATTCCTTTAATAATTGTGGCAACAAAAGTCGTCAAATGGGACAAAGGTCACTAAAGGACTGTCTTCCTTAACATCAGAAATGTTGGGCTCCATCGTGGCTTGTAAGTGGAGGATTACCGTATTTTCCGGCGTATAAGACGACTCGGCGTATAAGACGACCCCTGACTTCAGAGAAGATTTGTATGGTTTAGAAAGTCGCCTTATACACCGGAAAATACGGTATCTATAAAAGGATAAGGATCTCCTTTTCATCAGGGTTTTACTTTTATATGTTGCTATCACACTGGACAAGACACATAGTTCAACAATTATTGGGTTCTTGGTGTTGTCTTCTTGTAGATGTTTCATTACAAGGCTATGTGGCATCATCAGTGTAGGGCAAGTTATGTGTTATTTTATTTTTATCAATAGTCCACTTTTTAATGGAGCTTTCACTAGCCCAGAATGTCACCAACAGAAGAACAGCATAAACCAATGCTTTTAAATCAAAGCCAATGATATATAAATAGCTCATCATCCAACGATCTCCAGCCATCCTCCAGGTATTGTGTCCTTCAGTTTCCAGTTGACTGAGTCATCTTGGCCCGTGGGAATTGCTTACAAGAACTGCAGTCCAAAATAACTGGAAGACACCAGGTCGTAAACCACACGGCATGTATATCTGCAAGATTATTACACACATGAGAATTTCTATGTAATCTTGCATTGTTCCTCCAGAAAACTTGAAATGTTCAGCTAGGTTCTCTGTCGAAGAGCTATTGCTCCAAGGATAAACAGTTTTCACCCACCAAAAGAAAGGGGGGAAATGAAAAATCTAACCCTTGCCTAAGAAATCTCTCTTGAATATTTTCAACTGAGCTGTCTTACTTAAGGTTGGGAATTAATGCTTTTGAAGTCAGGGATGTGAAGACATTACAACTCGGCAAAGGAAACGATATAAAATCTCAGCTGGCTAACAGAAGCCGTCTTGAGCAAAAGCTACAGGTACTGTTCAAAGGTGAACGTGAATCTTTTGCAATCCGTTGGGAGAGCAGAAGGGAAGGGAACTTGTGTTTTTGTTTTGCTTTTTTACAGGAGACGATAAAGACAACGAGGAGATGCCGCCACCCCCTACACAACTGTAATGGGCTGCTCTGAAACCTTTGATGAGACTAGAGTGGCACAACCCATATTGTATTCCCAGGGGAGGCGGCCTGGATGATTTGAGCTTTAAGTCTGGAAATGAGGCTGTCCATTCTTAAAAGCGGCTTTGCATGGCAAAAACAAGCAAGTGAAGAAGAGCAATCTGGAGCGACGGAATAAGAAGATAAAAGTTCTTATTTCCCTTTTCATTTCATCACGTGGATTACAAGAGCCCACAAACGATTTCTGTTTGCCAACATACATTGGATTAGACATTAACAACATCAATAGACTATGCAAAAGAGACAATCACCCAGTCCAGAAAAGGAACAACCAGATCCCGGCACCTCTCCACCAGCAATCAGCACCTAGATCAGCATAGATTAACTCCAAAGTTAACATCAGGCCAGCAATCAAGTAAACAATATCCCAATCAAGAAACTGCCAAAGAAGCCAACAGCAAACAGCCCAACTAAAGAATCCCTAAGACCACCCCCCTCAACACTGACAGGCAAGCCACTAGAATATAAACTGACAGCACTCCTTACTAGCACTGATGATGTTCCCTAGTTGGGTAATGAAACGTCTGCAAGAAAACAAGCCAGCTCCGAGAGCACCAAGGCGCCCTCATACATCAAATTAATTTAATGTTGTTATTTTCACCAAAGAAGCAAGGGGGGAAAAATGCCATCTGGTCAGTGCTGAAGAAGCTTCTTGGATGAGAAGCGAAACGTCTTCAAAGCAAAACGAGAAAGTCCAGTTGCCTCCTGAAAAAAGCATCTTTGGGACTTAAGAACCCTTGCCAAAAAAAATCACAAAATCAGGGTGATTCACTTAATAACTGCTTTGCTGGTTCCAATTGCAGTCATAAGGCAAAGACTACCTGTATATAGGAAGGAATGAGCCAGCTGAACCTCTGTTTTGCTTACTCCGCCTAGATGCCATTCCATTAAAGATTAAGCTAGAGAGACTATTTCTTTCAGTGCCAATGGATACTGATATTTCCTTTCTCCCCCAGTTGGTTTTTTTTTTTTTCTGGTAAACAGAAGGAAATTACATGCATCTTCCTTGGTTTTAATCACACTGCACTTTTTGTAGTTATCCAAATATGATTAAAGGAAATGATTACTAGGCGTGCTGATAAAAGTCCCTCTTTATGAAGAGATCCAGGCGGGAACCACGTTAACTTCCTTGCGCAGTTTTATTGCTATCACTAATTTCGCCATAAGTAGGTTGCTAAACTACAGAAAGTGCTTACATTTTCTTTTCTTGGAGGGTGGGGGAGGAAGTTAGTTGTTGTTGTTGTTGTTGTTGTTGTTTTCCTCTTCCCTCCCAGTGCAATCTGCAAAAAAATTAATGGGGTCTTTTGTGGCACTAACTTTCAATTAATGGAATTAATTCTATTAAGGCTCTTTTTATGCCAGCAGTATTATTAGATTTGACACAAGGTGGAAGAAGTTACTTATCGGTAACTTTAGGGCTCCTGGGTGCTCTTGTTCGGCCCACCTGTGAAGCAGAGAAGAATTAAATCAAGGTTCGATCAGGTGACCCTCACCTGGTGCCCTCAAAAAATAAGGACTGTGATGGCACAGTGATTAGAATGCGATATTGCAGGCTGACTCTGCTCACAGCCAGGCGTTTGATCCTGACCGGCTTAATGTTGACTCAGCCTTCCGTCCTTCCGAGGTTGGTAAAATGAGACCCATATATGCTGCCTCTGAAAACCACTAAGAGAGTGATATAAAGCACTATGAAGAGGTATATAAATCTAAGTGCTATTGCTATTGCTAACTCTGCCCACTGTTTGGAGTTCGATTCTCACTGCTCAAGGTTGACTCAGTCTTCTACCCTTCCGAGGTCAGTAAAATGTGGACCCAGATTGATGGGAGCAATATGTTGACTTTGGAAACAGCTTAGGGAGGGCTGTAAAAATGCTATGAAGCATAAGTGTAAGTGCTGTCCTGTTGCTATTGCTATTAAGGTCCTTACTGTGGGTCTCGACTAGCCAAGGCCAACCCAATAGGGCACGTTTTCTCTGTTAGTTCAATAAAGAGAGGAGGAAGAAGAAAAGGCTGTCCAATGGAACAAGCTACAAGACAAATGTGGGACCTGATCTTGATGGGCTCAAGACGGTCTCCATGTCAAGTTCTTTGTCCCCACCCGATGCATCAAATAACAGCTTTGCCGATTACTCTTGACTAAGGTACCCGATTGTGGTGACATTGAGGCTGACCTTGGAGTCACCGCCCCCGCTGCCGCACTCTCCTTTGTCGTACCACCATTTGTTTTTCAATTTGTCCAACAGGCCTTGCTCATTCAGTTTTAATACTGCCAGGTTTACAGCATTTCTTGAAACGATAAAACATAACTCGTAAGAATAATGCAGCGATGCTCGGTTAAAGGTGTTCAAACGCAGAAGGAAAGGAGCAGAAGGACAAATTGGCCAGAAAGAAGAAGAAGGAAAAAAAAAATATCTTTGGTTTGGTTTGGTTCTTTGTCTTTTTAAAATTACTATTGGATATTTTTGGGGGGTTCGGTGGATTCTGGTTTTAAAGTGCTTTGGTTTGGGGTTTTAAAGCGGAGTGTCACTTTTTTTCTCACGGGGAGGTGGCGCTAGAGAGCATGGATTGGTTACAGCAAATGGGTGAAATTGGAAGGACACAAACATTTGCTGAAAAACCTGAGGAGTGCAAGATGGGGAGACTACCTTCAGAGAGAAAAAGAAAGGAAGGAGAAAAGGAGGAGAAAAAAAAAGGAAAAACACAACGAGAACACCACCGCATGCAATTTAAAATTCATCACATAGGGCGGTTTTAAACTCGGGCTTTGATCATTTCAACTGGGGGAAAAAAAGCCACTGGACGGTCAAATTAAACAAAACAAACAAACAAACAGCAACCATCCGGAGGGACAACACGGAGAGAACATTTAGGAATATATATATATATATATATATATATATATATATATATATATATATATATATATATATATATATATATATATATGGATGCATTCAGGTCAACAGAACCATAATTTACCATTGTATTTAATTCCACGGAATACCGTTTTTTTAAAAAGATTTTGTCTTTGGTTTTTTGTTATTTAAAAAAAACTGTTTTTGTTTACCTCAAATCCACAAGAAAGAAAGAAAAAAAAAGACAACACAATACATCAGGGTAGGTGGAATACTATAACAACATGGAGATTGTTATATTATTCCACCCACCTTAATGCTGAGCCTTTAGGAGTTGCTACACCATAGCCTTTGGAATCCAGGTTCCCACCAACTTTCATTGTGTCACAGGGCTTTCGCTGTTCAATGTACTCGTTCATGGTGGACTCAAGCAGGAATGCAAACTTTCCCTTTGATTTCCGCACGCGGGCCACCCCGTCGGCCGTGGTTTTGGCAAACACCGAGGGCTCTGCCGACTTCATGTATGACCACATTTTCTCATACACAGCAATTTTGGATCTCTGAGAGGGAGGGAGGGAAAGAGAGAGAGATAGAGAGAAAGAAAGACAGATTATTTATTTGCTTGCTTGCTTACTTATTTGTACCCCTCCTTTTTACCATTTTTAGTCAAAGAGATTTTAGCACGAGAATCTTGCTTGGTCAGACTATCTCCAAAATTCCCCTCTCCTTCGAAATTATTTATCCCGGTAGAGAAAAGTCGACAAAATGCATTTTTAACGGCTTTAATGCACGTACAGTCACCGTCCTGTGCTAAAGTTGAGACGGCCTTGGTCCAATGAGGTTTCCATGAAGCTGAGAACAACTACTCCACAGTACAAAATTAAATGTCTGCAAATTTGATGCACATTTACTATATATGAGGGCGGCCCAGTGGTTAAGACGTGATCTTGTTGGCTGGAGAGCTAGCAGGCCAGGTTTGAGACCTGTTCACTACACGAAGGGGTGAGCTCCCGTCCTCGCCTCAGCTCCTGCTAACCTAGCAGTTTGAAAGCATGCAGATATGAGTAGATAAATAGGTACCACTTTGGTGGGAAGATAACAGCAGTTCGTGATGTCACGCTGGCCACATGACCGCAGAAACATCTTCAGACAGTGCTGGCTTAGTGGCCTTGAAATGGGGATGAGCACCACCCCCTATAGTCAGCAATGACTAGTGGAGTAAAATCCACAGGGACTCCTTTAGCTTTTACTTTTATTCTAAATGAGCAGTTGTTTACAGATTCGAAACAAGAAAATAAGCACCCAACAGGTGGAGTATCAGCCAGTTCTTCATAACACCTCTTTTGGCTGAAATAACAGTTTCCCCACATTTCCTGCATCCAGCTAAGTTTTTCTTGTACACATTTCAACGTTCATATTTAGCTTTGGGAGTGTGAAGGCCCTTCCAATATCTTTATCCTTCTATAAAGGCCACTGCCAATTTGCATATATGTTTCACATCATTCTCTTGCTAAAATATACCATGTATTGCCTATTGCTGCTTTGGAAAAGACCGATGTCTTTTGCCAATGTATGGTTTTCTTCCATATTTTCTTCCTCTCTCCAAATGTATCCTGTGTGGTTTAGGCTGGCTTTGTCTCCTCAGTCAAAAACACCTCTTATACCTGCTAGATTGACCCTTTGAATATTTTTCATCTGTATGCAACTGCAAAATGACGTTGTGTTTAACTTTGTACTGTGGAGAAGTTGCATCAGCTTCTGTACAGTTAGGGATTCAGTGAAACACAGAAACATTGATCAGAAGTGCACCTCTGTATATTAGTTTTGCTTTTAAGATATATTATAACCGGCACCATCTGCAGTGAGGATGGAAAGATCCTGAAATATGGTAAAGGAATGGTTGGTGAAGATCGCAGAATTTGCAGAGATGGCAAAATTGTTTGACTAGGGCAGTGGTTCTCAACCTGTGGGTCGGGACCCCATTTGGGGTCGAATGACCATTTCATGGGGGTCGGCAAACAACGCAGTCTGCCATTTTTTCCCCTTTCCCTTAGCTGTGCTACTCCCTTTTATTCTATTGGCTTTTGAAAGCAAATAGAATAGACTCTCTTGAATAGAGTCTAATTCTATTGGCTTTCAAAAGCCAATAGGAATTGTCCAGGCTGTCTCTGCCCTGCTGAGCCCGCCCAAAGCCCCAGTCTGCAAACGGTGCTGCACCAGTTGAGTAGTCCTCGACTTACGACCGGTTGAGTAGTCCTCAACTTACGACCGGTTGGGGGGTCACAGCATTAAAAAGGTTGAGAACCACTGGACTAGGGAAAAGGCGACAACTACAATTTATGACCTTTTTACTGAAAATGAGGGGTGGGGAGGAAGGAACTTGTCATTTATGGGTTTGATGATTAGAAAGGATAAACCTCAGAACAAAATGGAGCCAGGATACAATCTTAGAGAGAAAGGATAAAATATAAATTCATGTATAACTGCTGTAAAGGCTGAACCCGCTCTTTTATATCTTCCTTTTTCCTTTTCTGTCCCTTTTCTCTTGCTCTTTCTTGTTGACTTATCACTTTTCTATACTTCCAATTTTCTTCAGGTCAGTAGGTTTTAGATTTGTTTTGGGGTTGTTTTTTTAAAGAAAAGCTTCAATAAAAATCTAAACAGATAAAACGTCCGTAACGATCTGATCAGAAGGGGAAAAAATGCCTCCTCTCAAAAAAGGCTATTTGCCTGTAGTTTGAGCTAGCATTCCTATCAAAATCCCCTTTACATCTTTAAAAAGTTGTCTGATGGCCTTTTAAATGCTGTTAGATTTGGACTGACCAAAAAGGGTTTTTAATCAGCTAATGCGCTTTGTTGGCTGCACACTGTGTCCCTAATTAAAAGCGATATATCTTCTTCTAACAAGTACCTATTCATGTGACTTATTCAGCCCAGTTATATAAAGAGTACAGTAAGTTGGGGGCAGGAGAAAAGAAAAAAGCTATGAAGGCCTAGTTGTTTCGGGCAATGTCGTTATCATCATTTCATGGTTGCTTTCCCAAAAGTAGAACACTGAACCAATCATATGATTGACTTCCCTCAGGCATCAGCTAGATTGCTTCTGTGATACTTCCCAGCTTCCAACTTAACCCATTAGCTAATCCTCGGCTTGGTTTCTGCTTCCCAATCCAGATTGGGTGGATCTTGTTGCAGTGGATGGGAACCAGTTATGGATATTGCCAGGTCTGCCATCTTTGGCTTGGCACTTCACTGGCATCCTGACGTTAAAGGCTGGGGGAAGGGGGATATAGGGGAACAAAGGGGTAATAAGCCTGTGTGGCTAGGTGAGGGGTAGGCAACCTGGGCTCTTTTATGACGTGTGGACTTCAACTCCCAGAATTCCTGAGCCAGCCATGCTGAGGGGAAAGGGAAAGGGTTCCAAGCTGAGCCATGCTGGCTCAGGAATTCTGGGAGTTGAAGTTCATGAGTCATAAAAGAGCCAAGGTTGCCTATCCCTGGACTAGGTGACGGGAAACAGGGAGGGGGGAATGACAGCTTGACCAAGAGCAGGGAAGTTTGGAACTGGTTTGTGCCAGCACCCGAAGAATAAGAAGAAGAAGAAGAAGAAGAAGAAGAAGAAGAAGAAGAAGAAGAAGAAGAAGAAGAAGAAGAAGAAGAAGAAGAAGAAGAAGAAGAAGAAGAAGAAGAAGAAGAAGAAGAAGAAGAAGAAGAAGAAGAAGTAGTAGTAGTAGTTGGAAGGGGACTTGGAGGTCTTCTAGTCCAACCCCTGCTCAGGCAGGAAACCCTATACCATTTCAGACAAATGGCTGTCCAATCTCTTCTTAAAAACTTCCAGTGCTTCTCTCTCTTTTACTGCTTCTCTCTCTTTTACACACACCCCATAGCTGTATAGTGCCTTGAGGAAGATGAGTTGGTGGGATTACCCCAAACATCTCAGTATTCTCAAAACACCTAGGTAATCATCATTTTCAGAAGATGGGCTAGTCATGGTGGGGTGGGGGGAGGCTGGGATGCGGGGAAACATGGCAGATCTATTTTGCGTGGGAAACTCAGTTCTAGCCTGACTTTACTGCAACCAACATTTTTTAGTAAAAGAACCTACCACTTCAGCTACATGGAGTCGAGGGTCTTTCTTTCTTAAGAGATTGGACCTGGGCAGGTCTGACAGATATGGACGGTCTCATCACTTCAATCACTAGCCATGCCAACAAGAACACATTTGTATACCTGCTCTTTGTGCTCTGATCAGTGTATGCTGGAGGACCTCACGGCAGTGCGACACAGAATGCAATTAATGTTGCTAGTTCCTGGGCAAGATCTGTTTAACGTGCGCACACTTTAATCTTGTGCTGTATATTTTAAATTTTACATCATAGAGTATGCCTTATTTTAATGCTTCTGACATGAATGAACAAGCAAACTAGCCAAGGGAACCATTTGCAAGTTTTAAAGCTTAGGAAAGCAACTGACCGTTGGTCAGGCTTAAGGATGCCTAATTTGTCAAATACAAAGCCAACGTAGGCAGACCCAGGAGAACAAGCCGTCTGGAGCCCATGATGGAAAAGGAGCTTAGAAAAAAGGAAAGAAACAGATTTGCTTGTCAAGGCCCAGATTACAAACTTTATCCCATTTTCAAAGAGATGCAAATGTGTTCCACTCTCCATCGTGTCAGGACAAAAAAGTGGTGAAATCAGGCTGAATATTGACATCAGCTATTGATCACAATTAATAGCACACCTTCTTCGTAAATGTTAAGACGGTCAGAAAGGACCTTGGGCAATTTATCAGCATTAAAACCACTATGATCACAAAGGAAAACAGTGAGTTCTTCGCTTTGGAAAGAGACACGAAAATAACACGAGTTATTTGCAATGTCTACGTTTTACGTAGATTGAACGGTGAGAATTCAGGACACATGTTTGAAGCAGGAGGAATGTCTGACCAACAGCATTTCGATTCTAATGGCTGTCATTACATTAGAATGATGGGGACGGTGCCAGCCATGGAAAACAGGTTGCCATTTGGATTGTGGCCCAGGACTGGGGCAAATAAAATTCATTACCATCTGTTCATTCAAAATAAATTGCTGGGGGGAAGTCTCATCTCAACTATCTTTATTTCTTCTCCTTAAAAAACAAATAATTGAGAAGTAACAGAGAACGCCACTGCTGGGGTCTTTCTAAGATGGCAAGGTTGGATTATGCTTCTGCCAAAGCTGGAGAAGATTTATTTATTTATTTGTTACTGGATAAGTAACTCAAAGTGGTGAACATAATAATGCCCCTTCCTCCTCTAATTTTCCCCATGACAATCCTGTGAGGTGGGTTGGACTGAAAGAGAGGGACTGGCCCAAAGCCACCTGGACAGCTTTTATGCCTAAGGCAGGACTAGGTGTCACTGTCTCCTGGTGATTGCTTCAAAGTCACCCAGTCAGTTTTTATGCCTAAGGCAGGACTAGAACTCACCAGTTCCTGGTGATTGGTCCAAAGTCACCCAGCCAGCTCCCATGCCTAAAATGAAAGCCTTGTTCTGGCTGTCTTTTTTTTTTGCCATTGACGCCATGCTTATTCATACTCAGTTGCTGCCATGGCTTCGGGGTGAAGAACTCAGCAAAGCCTTGATAAAATCCTTGATTATGATGAAGTCGCTCAAAATAGAAGGAAAGCCATCAATCTCTGTGACCATATGCTAGCCAGGATCGTCATAACAGACCTACTACAGTTAAAACTCAGAAGATGATTTTCCTGTAGCCTCTGCATTGTCTTAGCTGTACCAAGCTGTGAGACTTCTGGAGGGACCAGAGACGGTAAATGTAGAAACAGTAGCAGGCTGAATGGAGCTAAAAATGCCTTGGCCTAGCTAACGGTAAATCTTTAATAGGTCACAAAGAGACACAAAAACTCCTCTTATATTAGCAGCTAATGCAGTTTGTAACTGCGTGTGCGGAACTCTCCAAGGTCCTGAAAATGCCGTCATTTGCCTGAGCCCAGATGGTTATTTTCTTCCATTCACTTTGGATACGCCTGCATTATATTGACAGAAACATCTGTTCTCTAAGGTTGCTGCCTCAACTCCCACCAAGATATCCTGATCAATCAATCCAGAGCCAAGTTTACAGTCTTTTAACAACAGATGCCGGAGGGTCTCATTTCCTACTTCCTTGTTTGTTCCAATCTCTCCAGAATGTGTAGAAGGGTTTCTCAACCTTGGCAGTTTGAAGACATGTGGACTTCAACTCCCAGGATTCTTGTGCTGGCTGAGGAATTCTAGGAGTTGAAGTTCACACGTCTTCAAGTAGCCAAGGCTGAGAAAAACTGATGTAGGGGGCTGACACAGAATGAAAAAAAAAATCTGCAGTGAAGTTACGGAGTCATAACCAGCTCATCTTCCTCATCTTCCCAAACCGCTATGAAGTGTGTGTAAGAAAGAGACTGAGAGGACAGAAATCACCCAGAGATGGAATGCCTAGAAACATCTTTAGGACATTTTCCCAATCACAGAAATTAATTAACTATTCATTATTTTAAGCATGCATAAAATATATGAAATAGCAGTCTCATTTGCTATTTAACACACGAGCAAAACTCCATTCAGTTTTAACGGACATTCTGCTTTAACAGATATCTTTTCATCTCATTTGTCTGTGAGAGTTTATGTGTAATTTGAGCTGACTGACAGGGCAAATTACCACCACCAAGAAAGCCCTCTGGCATAAATGATCTCTGACCTCATTGATACCGCCTGTGATGCAGGCCACCCTATAAGCCTGTTTTGAAAGGGGGCGGACCAAATATGCCACAGATAACGATAGCAGGAGTACCCATGTTCAGATATGGTCTTTCCAGAATTGCTACGGAACCTCAACGCTTTTATAATGCATTTGTAAGTCCCAATGCACTTTCAGCTTATGAGCTTCCTAAAGTTGTCTCTATAAGCTGTGCAAAACAGGTCAACAACAGTGGGAAGCAGGGCTCCTTAAGACTAATATGCCTAGGCGGGCAACGTGAGGCCTTAGAAATTGTGTAATAACAAAAACAATCACAGCTTGGCTTTCTGCTCATATGGAGTCAAGTGGACTAGAAGATGAAGCCTTGCACATACACACACATATGTGCACGCACATGGGGTTCCAACTCAGTCTCCATCCCCAGGAACTGCTTGATGTAACTGCAGTGGAATTTGGAGCAGCCAGACTTGGCCTGACCCTGGGCTGTCAGACACACAGAGACTTATTTTAGCTCTGCTGTCAGACCAAATTAACTTCAACTCTCTCCAGGCTGGATTCCACTCTCTTTCCCTTTACCCATTATTTCGAATTCCAGATTCTCCTTGCTGGAAGGGAAACTTCCTCAGAATGGTTAACCCCCTTAACTGAGAACAGATATGTTTAAAATACAAGTTTGCTTTGTCCCCAAAACAGGAGCCTTCGCGTTCACTTCTTCCTCCAAGAGAGGTTTCTGAAAGAGAAATATGTGTCCCTGTTCATTCATGACACCCCCTTGGCTAGCAATTGTCCTTCCTCCCTTCCTCTGAAATATAAATTGGAAAACAGCTGAAGGAGAATGGAAAGCAACTCTCTGATGATCAAGACAAGATAGTTAATACTCCTTGTATGCTAGAACTGGACTGGCTTTCACAGATTTTTTCCTCTATATTCAATGGGACGTGCCACATAAAATATTCAGACAGTCATCCTCCTCGAGGCTGAAGATAAAGAAGAATTGATGTTTATAAGCTGCATTATTTGAATTAAAAAGGACACATTTTATGGGGGAAAGGTGGGCCGCACACCTTGAAATATGTTTAGGAGAATCAAAAATTGATATGCACAGCGTAGTGGCATGGTGTCGTCCCTGGGATTTTTTGAGAAGTGTTGTTGTTTGAAGATAATGCTTGGGACTTATTTTGCTTTCCTTCAGTAGGTTTGTCACAGAACTAGAGTTCCACTCTTACGTACTCGGTCCTTGTGCAGAAAGTCAATTGCCATTTTGATAATTTATCTATTTATTAAGTTGATTGATACAGTCATTCAGCTCAGTACAAGACTCAGTCATGCTGCACTGCCTATAAAGGTGGCGTTGCATGGATTCACTTCCCACCTCTTCATATTCAGTATCAGTTCTTGTGGCTGCCCAGATGCTGCTCAATTACAGGGGTCTCCAAATCTGGCAACTTTAAGATTTGTGGACTTCAATTCCCAGAATTCCTCAGTCAGCCATGCTGGAAGTTGAAGTCCACAAGTCTTAGAGTTGCCAAGTTTGTATTGCCCTGCTGAATTAGCTATGGTCCCTCATCATAGGCCAGGCTGTGGGATTGCCAACACTTGTTCCAACACTGGAAATTTTTAAGAAGAGATTGGACAACCATTTGTCTGAAATGGTATAGGGTTTCCTGCCTGAGCAGGGTTGGACAAGAAGACCCTTCCAACTCTGCTATTCTGTTCTGTTCTGTTCTGTTCTGTTCTATTCCATTCCATTCCATTCCATTCCATACCATACCATACCATTCCATTCCATTCTATCTTCTGGACAGCACGCTCAATCTAACAAGTCTGCAGAGGCCCCCAATCCGGACTTCACAACATCTTGAACGAACACTTACTCTAAAAAATTCTTTGGTCGAGCCGGAATCCAAGGTTCCATAGGCGATCTCGGTCTGCTTAGCCAAGTCTTCAGCGCTTTCAATAGGGGACACCATCCTTTCAACCGTGAGGAAGGCAGCCAGGTTGGCAGTGTAGGAGGAGATGATGATGAGGGTGAAGAACCACCAAACGCCTCCGACGATTCGCCCTGAGAGAGACCTAAGAAATCGGAGAGGTGGTTACTTTGCTATAGGCTGGTCTCGGGTCTTCCGCAGGAAGAGAAATCCCATGGGGTCCAAACAGGAGGGGAATGAAGAGAAAGAGAACCAATACTGGCGTTAATGGAGACTAGAAATTCACCGAGCATTACATTCATGGCACAGAAAGGTCACAATAGGCAGTCCTCAACTTATGACCACAATTGAGCTCAAAATTTATGTTGCTAAGCGAGACATTGGTTCCGTGGGTTTTGCCCCATTTGATGACCTTTCTTGCTACAGTTCTTTAGTCAATCACTACACTTGTTGAATTAGCAATACACCTGTTAAATGAATCTGGCTTCCCCATTGACTTGCTTGTCAGAAGGTCATAAAAGATGATCACAGGACCCCGGGGACACGGCAACCGTCATAAATATGAGTCCATTGCCAAGTATCTCAGTTTTGATCACATGATCATGGGGATGCTGTGTGGGTCGTAATTGTGAAAAACGGCCCTAAGTCCCTTTTTTTGAGTGCCATTGTAACTTTGAACAGTCCCCGAAGGAACCGTTGTAAGTCAAGGACTGTCTGTAGCTTAAGCCTAGCATAAAGGAAAAAATGGAGATGCTTGCCACTGCCTAGTTAATGGTTGTATTTATCCAATCTGAAGTGTGGCCAACCCAGGTCCTTCACCTATGATCAGTGGTGGGATTCAAATAGGTGAACAACCGGTTCTCTGCGTGGATGCCACTTCCGGATGTCCATTCTGGGCCTGGGCAACATAAAATTAGCTACCAGTTCTGCCGAAGTGGTGCAAACTGGTTGAATCCCACCACTGACATTGTGAAAAACCAGAAACAGGGAAACTGAATAAACCAAGAGTCAGCTAACCACGACCTAAAAAATTGGGCAACATGATTGTACCTCCTTAATAGGATATGTCAAGGTTTTCTTTTATTTCTGCCAACTTCCGGCATCCCACTTTGCTTCTGAGTGAATCTGTGTGGACTCCAATCCTACTGGCTGCTACATCACTTCCTGTCCTCCTATTGGCCTTATCAGTAACACGGCAATTCCCTGTCGCCCTTTTATGCATTCCGAAAAGAAAAAACGGGAGATTTGTCTGCCGTCCAAGTTTCTGTCCCATTGCTCAGAATTCTGCATTCTTTGGCAGGGAGAGATGCCAGAGCCCTTTGATGTTAATTAGAGTGCCGGCCTGTCTGCGACTCAAGATTGCAAAGCACAAAGATCTATAATTTATAAATCTGATTTACGACGTAGTGACCTAAGCCCCAGACTTCCATTTCAGCTGGCAGTTCTCACAAGAGGAGAGGGGCAAAACGTCTTGCTTTTCTTCGGCAGTACAGTAACTGCAGGTTTTGTTTTTGGGTTTTTTTTTTTTTTTTAAAGGCACGGTAGGAAGCCATTTTTCCCGACTGTTTTGCTGCGATGAATTTTGGCCGCATGGAATTCCCTGCAAGAAACAGGTCTAGGCAAGAGAGAGGAATTGGCATCTGTGAAATGTTCTGTAGCTACTGATGCGCTTAGGTTATCTCTCAGCCCAACCTACCTTACAGGGTGGTGATTATTGTTGTTTTTTTCCAATACTTTTATGAAGGAATATATTAAGCAAGTATAAAACTAACGCAACAACATAGTACAGGGATATATGTTTTGATTTTGTTTTTAAAAAGTTATTTTTCCCTAATTAAAAACATTAAAAAAGAGTGCAGAAGGGAAAAAAACACACACACACAAAAAGAAGAAAAAAAAATAGGATTTACCCCTTCTTTCCTAGCTAGTATATAACCAACTAACAACTTACCGCTGTCTCTTAAAATGCAAATAAACATTTTTTCCCCTTTATATTTCACCCCATTTTCTATAAGCCCACTCCTAAGTCTTTGCTTCTCCTTAGTAATCAGCAAAAGGATTGTTTTGATGAAATTCCTAACCACTTGACTATGGCCTGTGAGCCATCATATGAATCTGTTTAGTTTTATTCTGCATTCAAGTACGAATGTATTTACTTTTATTCCGCCTTCGCAACATGGAACTGAGAAAAGCCAGTTCTTCCAAATGGTAACTATTATGGCCCCCGTGTATTAATTATATCATGCATGATCAGAAGAGACAGACCCCTTTAGATCAAAAATTCCTTTTCTAAAACCATTTTAGGATCACTTGGAAGAGGTTTTACACAACCTTTCGTTGCAGCATCCATGACTTCGTATGATACCAGTGGGTTAAAAAAAAAAAAAAGTAGTAAGATCTAAATATCAATAGCAATTAAAAAGATTGATAAAGGGATTTCAAAGATTATTGCCAAATCAAAGAGCACAGAGAGAAACCCTGAGAGAAAGATTTAGGCTGTTGAGTGGAGTTAAAATATTAAGATGTTATCAATGAGGACAAAACCATAGCATGTTATCCTTATTGTTATTGATAGAAGAGAATATTTATAGCTCAGCTTTGAACTGTCCTCCCTGAGCTGTCTTGCAGATGTTTTATTATACAATGGGTGACATCATCAGTCCTAGAAGAGGGAGGGGTTTGTGGAGGAGGAGGAGGAGGAGGAGGAGGAAACATGTGGGATGCATAGTGCTCTCTGAGCTTGGTTGCTTTCTTGCAGACATTTCATGACCCTGTTAGGTAACATCATCAGTGCTAGAAGTGAGTAGTGGCTGGCCCTTGCAAATAAAATGAGAACCAAGTACCTCAATGTATCTCTTGGGCTACAAAACAACAGCAAGAAAACAGCCAAACTCAAAGAGCACCAAGGACCCCAGAGTCATTGTTATACTCTCTTTCCACAGTAAATTACTGGGAGCAGCATGGTATTCTAAACCAGTAGCACACGGACACAGTTTCTCCATCTCTGAAAATTGGCTTTGGACTCTCCCCTCTAATTCCCTTTGCTTCTACTGAAGTCATCAAACACGGGACCTGGAGGCCAAAAACCACAATGGGGTTCCCATAAAGAATTGCAGAGACCGCAGAGGTGTAAAGAGACTGGCGGGGAAGCAAAGGAACATGCTCAAACATCTCTGGATCCAAATACAGGTGGTCCTCTACTTACAATCAGTCTTTTAGTGACCGTTCAAAGTTAGGACAGCTCTGCCCCCCCCAAGGGACTTATGACTTGACTTCTGAGGTCAACCCAGTGCTGTGGTCACACAATCACATTTTGGGCCCTCGGCAACTGGCCGGCATTTACAGCCAGGATATACAATTCTGCCATGATTAAAAAATGTAAAAATGTACATCTGTGAACTCAAGGCAAACACAGCTTTATGGAACTTGGTAGTCAGTCATCAAAAAAAAAAATAACTTTCTGTGTCTTTCTTTTTTCCTTTAATTGAGCATTAAGTGCCAATTTCATCCACATGAACCACAATCATATGCTACCACAGTCCTCTGTAGATGGATTTTTCAGCCAGTTTCTATTAAATGCTGGCCAAGAATTAGTCTATAATTATGAATTCAATAATGATAATTATTGTTCCATATAAAGCTTAGCTAGGAGGGCTGTTTTGTTGACTTCTCCATCTGGCCACAGCCCTAGAACTGCCTGCTCTCCCACACTCAAGTGTTAAAAACTCCTGCCTCTATTTAGTCTCTGGACCCAGGCAAGGATCAGAGCAGCCAGCCGAGACTCACGGATAATAGGCCAAAGTGAAAATAATCATAAGTATGATCACATTACATATTGAACAGAATGATGCCTAATGTTTTTGAACCAGATTTTATAGTTTTGGAAAGACAATGGTTTGGTTTTGTTATGTCAATAAATAAGACATTTCATTTCTTTCTTTTGCTTGGAGATAATCTTATCTCTTCCAGCCTATTGTTCAGGGCTCTGTCTTTCCTTCCTTCCATCCATCCATCCATCCATCCATCCATCCATCTCTAGGTAGCTAGCTAGATAGCATCTAGCTAGCTAGCATCTAGCTAGCATCTAGCTATCTATCATCCATCCATATCTAGCTAGCTAGCTAGCTAGCATCTAGCTAGCATCTAGCTATCATCCATCCATATCTAGCTAGCTAACTAGCTATCATTTAACTATCTATCATCTAGCTAGCTATCATCCATCCATCCATGTCTGTCTTTTATCCATCTATCTATCTATCTGTCTGTCTGTCTGTCTGTCTATCTATTTATCTATCTATCATCTATCTATTTATTTATCTAGCCAGCTAGCTATCATTTTGTTGTGCATTATTATTGTGATTAAATACATGCACTTCAATGGACTCACAAGCCAGATGAAGAGATCTATTTTGCACCCAACCAGAAGAAGATATAGATTTATTCTTGCAAATATACAACTTCCAGCCAATGGGGAACAGCTAGAGTCGGCCACCGACTTCAAGGACACCCATTCTCCACAAGGTCATACAGAGACTTTGGACTTTTCTTCTCAAACCTCCCCAAAGGGGCTGGCAGAAAATGTCCCATCCAGTAAAAAAACCTGAGTTCACTAAATTTGTAAAAAAAATTAAGGCTGTGTGGTACTTCACATCCAAAGACTAAGTGATGGTTCAGAGTGTATGGGGCTATGAAGAAAACACTTCTCTGCAATTCCATAAAGTGAATGTATCTTTCCTTGAGATCATGCCAAGGGTAGCTGCCTTGCAAAGCCTCAGATAGATGCTATGTGAGCTGGTGTGTGTGCCTGTGTGTCTATGTACCCCTTGCACTCTGGAGCAGTTTTCTCCTTTGAATCCCAAAGTGCCACACAGCCCACTTAAGGCTTATCTTGAGACACTAGCAAACATCTTACCAGAGTCTATGTACTGAAGAAGAACAAGTCAAATGGAAACCAACCAATCAGCTGAGTGCCCACAGCTTTCCACATGATGTCCTATGCTTATTTTCCCGGTCCATTAATGGCTAAGTACATGGGCAACAGCAATTTAAAATGCTAGCGGTACACGTTATCTTTAGAGCAAGCAAACAGCAAAATTGCATTTGTGGTTCTAGGATTCCATTGCGAAGCATCCATGCACAAGGAGAAAGCTAGAAGTTGTGCTCAAACAGGAGGGAACAATGGCAAAATTTTGGTTGGAAAAGAACAAAGCTTGATAGCACACAAACAAACTTCTTGGAGCTGGCTTATGTCTGTCAGGTTAATTTGCTCTGTACATCATTTAAATAGGTGTTTCTTAACTTTGGCAACTGTAAAGATGCACGGACTTCAACTCCCACAATTCCCCCTCCAGCAAATGAGAGTTGAAGCCCTTCTGTCTAGTTCCTAAGGTTGACAAACATTGATCTAGAATGAACACTGATGGGAGTTACAGTCTATATGTCTTAAAACTGCCAAGTCCTAAAAATACTGCTTGAAATGTATATTGTTTATCATCACTACAGAGGCAAGATAGTTTTGGAGCCTCTATTAATGATTGGAGGGAATGAGATAACTAACACTGGATATCCTCCCTCCTGTAGTCCATAATTACCAGAAGCCAAGAGAAAAGTCATGCGTGGATCATACATTTTTCAAGCACCTAGACTTCCAATAAGATTCAGCAGTTTTGAACTGGATCACCAAACAGGCTAGCCAAGAATACTGGCTTGGAGGATTCCAGTGTTACATTGGGGTCACAAGAATCACTTGAAGAATGTTTATTGCTTCTGCTAGATCTCATCACAACAATGTAGTGTTCAACTTCAGCTGAACCCTGGCATGACTGAGTGTCTTGGGTTTAGGGGACTACCAATTCCAAGGTGATGTCATCTTTGATCTTGGATGGGGTAGCCCGACCGACCCAGTGTGCAATTTGGGAGTCTTCCTGGACTCACGACTGCACAAGAAGAAGATGGCAATTGTGATCAGGAGGATTTTTGCACAGAGGTGCACAGAATGCACCAGTTGCCTCTGTTCCAAGTTTAGGAAGTTCTGTTCAGTCACTCATGTCCTAGTCACTTCCAGATTGGATTATCATAATGCGCTCTACATGGGGCTGCCCTTGAAAAGTATCCAAAAAGCTTCAACTGGTATGGGATGCAATGGTGTAGGCAGTTCTAGGTGCTTCCAGAACAGCACATGTCACACCTCTGCTCCACAAGCTGCATTGGATGTCAGCTTGCTTCTGGGTTCAGTTAAGAGGATGGTTTTAACCTTTAAAGCTCTTCATATCATGAGCTGGGTTATCCCCAATTGCATCTGCCCAACCCATCAGGTCTGGTAGAGAAGGTATGGTTTGGGTCCCATCAGCTATGAACTTAGACTTGGTGGATCTAAGAGGTGGGCCTTCTCTGTTGTGGTACCCACTTTATGGAACATTTTCCTCGGCCACAAAGTGAGATTTAGTTTTAGACATTCCAGAAGTCCTTCAAAATTTGGCTATGTCATCAGACCTCTGGGATTAGTGACACCTTAAGATGGCTCCACCATTGTGGTTAATGTTCACTCTCTCCTGTGCTGGATGGTTGTATTTTTAATGGTTCTTTTTTAATAATTTTGTATATACGATTATTGCTTTGTTTTAATGGTTGCACGCAGCCCAAAGTCACTTCGTATGAAATGGATAGCCATTTAATTTACTCAGTAACTAACTAAATAAATGTTAACTGTTAGGAGAAAGAGAGAGGAAGATTGTAGGCTTGGCAGAGTCCAGTCTAATTGAATACAATAAAGCACTCGTTTGAAAAACAAATGTTTCTAAAAGGTCAAAGTGGGGGGGGGGGAGAAAACGAAAGGAAAGCCACTGGCATTGCAGACATGTTAGGCCTGGATAAACCTCACACACATTATGCGTATGTGAGCTCTTTCTGAATAACAAAAAGACTGTTTTGAATATGGCAGCGTTTATCCAAAGACACAGTGGATTAAACTAGACCTATGATGGGAAAAGAGGATAATCCCAGTTCATCAATTTTGCTCATAAAGACTGAAAACTCGAGGAACAATTATAGAGCGGCCTATTGCTTACTGATGTAAAACATACTTCGCGCTGACTGGGATTCCAAATTAAATCTGGGTTTTAAGAAAAGTCTCCACTTAGAGAAGGGACTGCAAAACATTGCATTTATGGAGGGGGAAAAAAATCTGAGCTGAAATGGGTCCACAAAAGTTTGTGCTTATTTCACTACTGCAGAAAAAGTAAAGTCACTTATTTCTGCAAATACTACTCCACTAATTTATAATGGACCCAAAGAATTGTGGTAGTGTCCATGCAATCCTTATGCAACTAATCCGGAGTAATTGTAATGGCATCTACTGACTGAAATGTACTTAATCCAGCTTCTGACTTCCCACAAATGCACAATCAGATACTTCTAAACCAACAAGAGGACTTTTGGAACGACAAGCTTCTCCTCTTGTCTTCTCCACCATATATTTCCACACTGCTGTCATTTCTATCCTCCCCCAATCTTCCAAAACAGCTTGAAACCAGCCCATAACCCTCTTCATGTTCCCTCTTCTAAACTTTGAAAAACAGCTGAACTTCTAGGAGAGGAAGAAGCTAGGCCAGACCTTCCATGGATCTCGCAGGACAAAGTACAAAATTTGGCAATGCCAAATAGTCTGCATTGGCCAGTAACTAACTCAGTTCCTGGATCCAGCTGATGTCATGTGATTTGACAGACTGAAAACTAATTTTGAACGGGTGGACAGATCTCCAGTGGAAGTGGCCAGAGATAGCCTGCCTTTGAAGTAGTCCTTCATCTTCTACGGCAGCGTTTCTCAACCATGTCCATTATAAGACGGGTGGACTTCAACTCCCAGCATTCCTCAGCCGTCTTGAGTGACCCAGATCGTGCTGGTTGGGGAATTCTGGAAGTTGAAGTTCACACACCTTAAAATGTCCAAGGTTGAGAAACATTGTCCTACAGCTTTGCCCTTTGATAGTTGCCTTCCAAACCAACAGATTCTACTGCAAGGACCCAAGCCAAGAAGGTGAGGTTTGCTCATCGCCATGTACAAATAAAAGAACATCGGTTCATTTAAGAGCTCCAAATAAACTTCTATTATTCAGAAGGAGAGCCCATTTTTAACCTCATTCCAGGTTGCTCTTTTTGGACCTGCCAAATTATCCCCCCAGAGGCTAAACTCTGTTCTCTCATGAAAAAGAGACTGATAATTAATTATACAGTGTTTCTTTCAACATGCTAGACTTTGATTCTTTGCTGGACCTTCCCCACTGCTATTGTATTTCTGGCTCCCTGGCCTTTGCTGGGGTAGTTGCCAAAATCACACTGTAGAACACAAAAACACATGCAGAGCAAGAGAGGAAGAGAGAGAGAGAGAGAGAGAGAGAGAGAGAGAGAGAGAGAGAGAGAGAGAGAGAGAGAGAGAGAGAGAGAGAGAGAGAGAGAGAGAGAGGGAGGGAGAAAGAGAGAAAATGTGTTTATGTGACAGAGAAAGACAGAGAGAGAGACAGAGGATGTGTGTGTGTGTGTGTGTGTGTGTGTGTGTGTGTGTGTGTGAAAGACAGAGAGAATGAGAGATGGGACGGGGGGGAAGGGAACTAGCACAGAATTCAATATATTACAATTCTCTGAAAGGAGATCTAAGGAAGAATCAGCATGCTCCGAGTGTCAGGAATGATACAAATCAAAGACAAAAAGGTCAATGACAAGAAAAGCATCTGACAAAATCAAAACAAGCAAACAAAAACCCATAGAAAAGGAGCGAAGAGGGTAGCATGGGCAGCAACAAACAGCCTAGCATAGGTACGTCTTAATTTTAAATGCTGTTACAACATGTGAGCTGTATCAAGCATTAGCCATTGTCGTCTTGCAAAGCAGAAATCAACGTGTTACATGCACCAAGCGGATGACCGTAAAATGAGCTATGCAGCAAAAACACGGTAGCTCTCCAAGCATCGCCAAAAGATGTAGAAAAAGAAAACCCGATGCATTTTACAGCCTCGGCATGGTGGATATAAGTTCTGGTCGTGATGCACGAGAAAAAAGCATCGGTTAACCATATCCTCGGTGACAGCAGCTTGACAGAGGTTGCTTATGCCATGGAAGGATATACAGGTAGTCCTCGACTTACGATCATAATTGAGCCCCAAATCTTCAGCTAAGCAGGACAGTTGTTAAGTGAGTTTTGCCTCACATGACACCCTTTCTTGCCATGATTGTTAAGTGAAATCACTGCAGCTGCTCAGTTAGCAACACAGTTATTAAGTGAACCAGGCTTCCCCATTGACTGTGCGTGTCAGAAGGTTGCAATGGGGGGAGGTCACATGTCCCCGGCACACTGCGACCATCATAAATACGAGTCAACTGCCAAGCATCTCAATTTTGATCACGTGAGCGTGGGGACGCTGCAACGGTGTGAAGAACCGTCATAAGTGAAAAGTGAAGGGACGGAAGTTGTAACTCTGAACGATCAGTAAATGAATAGCTGAAAGTCGAGGGCTACCTGTATCAGAAAGAAAACTTTGGAGAGCAATTGAGTGATGTCTCGGAGAAACGTATATGCACCATGGTTATCTCCCAACAAACCATAAAATGCAAAAAGGTGATGGGTGTTACGAGAAGAATACGAAAGAAACCAAAACCAACCTTGGAGAAATATCACATCCTTGCTGCATAAAGGCACCCAGGGAAAACCAAAGGCTGTTAAATATTCCAAATTCATTGGGCGGATCAGGAGGATTTTGAGGGTCCCGAGGCTCTTCCTGGTTATCTTCCAAATGCCACTCGTAAGGACTGAATCGGCTGACTAGAAACAGAACTACGCTGACGCCAATGTACGCAAAGACTATACACATCCAAATTTCATAGGCCAAAGGATCCAGAAAGGAGAAGACCCCTGGTTTAGATTTCTGGGGCTTCTTGATCATGATAGAAATGCCCAAGCTCATAAAAGGTTTGGAAAAATCTATGACTTCTTCTCGGACCAGGGTTATGGTCAGTGGGGCAACAGCTATATCTGCTCTCTGGAAAGACAGAACACAGACATAAAAAAAGTAAGAAGAGAAAATTACAGCAAGATATCTTTATTAACACCACAGCAGCCCTTGTTTCTCTGACAAGGGATTCCACAGCTCTTGAGCACGTTCTACCTCACGGGAATGCTGCTCTTGCTTGGTTGACCATCTGCAGTTCCTTATGCTTCCTGCTTTGGGAGGAGGAACTCAAGAACTCTATATGTCTCTGACAGATTTGCAGGCAGCACGTTCTACTCTAGGGATAGACTGGTCAGACCAAAGATCTAAGAAGCAGAGGAAGAAGAGGTGACTATGTTTCTGCTTCTGCTTATGTGCTTCCCAAACATGGCTGGGTTGGTCATTTTTTTAGACCCCAAGAATTCTGGAGGGCTGGCATCCTTGGCTTCATCCCACAACGCTCTTCTCGTGATCTCATCTTGAGCCCACTGCAGAAGAATGAGGATGGAGGAGGACTTGACCTTAGAATCACCTAGGGCTGAAGATAAGCAGCTTTATGAGGTAGAAGCAGCCATGGAAGGTGCATAACCTTGGAGAGATGTGCAACTGAGAAAGCCAGCTCCACCAATTTCCTTTGCCATACTGCGACAATAAATTTATTTTACTTACGTGTTACATTTATATAGTCACCCATCTCAAACCCTTTTCCCAAGTTTCCGCCACAAGGAATTAGTCCAACTTTCTACAATAACATGGATGATAATGTTGAAACTATCTGGGCTTTTGTTTTTGTTTTTTTGTCAATTGGACTTCACTACTTCCTGTTCTGGACATCTTACCTGGGATTCCTTATTTAATGCCTTTTGTTATTAAACAAACGACCATCTACAAGCAAACATCATGCATTTACGTTTTCCTTTCCTTGGCCCTTCCCCCATTCAAGAAACGTACAAAAAACCTTTAGTTTAGTTAAAAGCATCAGGTTTTCTGCTCAGTTCAGCAAAACTTGGCAAGGCCACTTATAGGCGTTTAGCAATTTTCTTGTCCCCATAGAGTGAAATGGAGGAGCGCAGTCAAGCCTGAGCTCTAAGTAAGACGTTCCAGAATCAGCCTTCTGAGTTGGACTGATCTCAAAATAAGTCATGAGAGTTTGGGGCTCAGCCAAATCACTCTATGAAACTTTGGCATTTGTACAAAAGTTTAGTTGGCTTATAAACCCTTCTCCATTCACAGGATGCATCTGCTGCTGATCAAAATATCTCAGATGATATCACGAGTTGGATCATAAGAGTAGCTTAGAGATCTTCCAAGGAAGATTAAAAGGGACCGGTACCAAAAGTCAATTGAAATTTTCAGAACTTGAGAATGAGATTTAAGGTGGGAACTAGAACTCACTGACTCCTGGTTTCTAGCCTGGTGCCTTAACCACTAAATTAGCCTGGCTCTGTAGCTTATTGAATCTTGCTTGTTTCCCTATGTACAGTGAAATGTATTTGGTTTAGCTTTACTAAAGTGTGCATCAAATGAAACTTAAATCACACCCTTCCTGTCGGATAAGGATAATGTTAACAACAACAACCAATTAAACAAGAGCCTCTGCTGGATTTAGCTTGTTAGAGTATTGGGTTGTGAAGTTTAGTTTAGCTTTCCTCATGCCATGAATATTTTTTGCAAGCTACTGCATATCAAAGTAATGCAAATTACTCACAGAAGGGGGAAAGGGAATAGGAAACATTTTGCTTCTGCTAAAGAAAAAAAAAACCTCTCTATTTTATTATTAGAGGAAGTGCATTTGTATGGCCTAGCTTGAACCTAAAAATAATTAAATATCCTATAAATATATCTACCGGGGCAGGCCTAACACTAATCATCATCATTTATTACATTTATAGGCTGCCTGGCTCCCATGATTCTGAGTGGTTAGGAATGATCTTAAAAGATGCTCTACAAAATACTTCCACTGAGTAACAATCTCTTCTTGTTGATAATACATATGAATAAAGATACAGAGGATCAGATGTACTTTGCAGTGCAAAGACTACTAGATAAACAGGACTTCTTTCTTAGTCAACACAGATACAAGATCTGTTAGGATATTAAATTTAGTAGCTGGAACAGTAAAGTGTACAATGGGTGAGAACACACAGTTGTAGTTGATTGGTTGGAGATTGCTGGCTCCTGCATGAGGCGATCTATGTTATGATTGGTTGCTGAATGTAAAGGGGGGAGTTTCCATTTTCCCCACCTTTTTTCTTTAGTGTGCTCTGTAGGCTGTTTTGTGAGTTACCTCACGATTTACCTCATGAGGATGTAGTGATGCCCCCCTATCTTATTTACTGTAAATATTGACGTAAAATGTATTTATTTATATAAAACTACAAGTTTGCATCAGTGTCTTCGACTTTATGTGGACAGCTGCTGCACAATTTTTCAACAAAATCTGATTGCATGCCTCTTTCTAAAGTACTCTGCAAACTTTTCCGAAGGCTGCGATGATTGAACGACAGTCCATGCAGACACAGCTTCCTGATGTGCACACAGAAACAATCTGAATGGTGACATTCGGTACAGCGAAGAATTGCTTTTTCACACTGAGCGAAAACATTTACATCACAAAAACTCCAGGTGTCTTACAAATCCTTGCTGGGTGAGATCAAGCTCATATCACTCATCCACCATTTATGGAGCGAATGTCAGGTTCTTTGAGGTTAAATATCTGGCGAAATATTACTCGGCATATTAACCCAAAGCCTAGCATACAGCATTGACTTCTCCTCCAACTATTCTAATTCCTCAAGAGCCTGGAGGTCAAGGGAGCATGCCCACTTTGGCTTAACTTAACACCAACATCCTTACAATGTTGAAAGCATTGCTTGTGTTATGTATCCTGCCTTTAGAACAAGCATCTGTTTCTTTCATGTGAGTCTGCTTGAAGCAAATACCCTATATTTTGGCACTGAAAATGCCAGGAAGAGAACCTCAAGCTATGCTATCAAATGCACTATTGTGGGCAGGGTTGAGCCCTCTCTTAGAAGTCAAAACCAACCCAAAGATGAATAGAAATGCCACAAAGCTGTGGAATATCTGAACAAAGATTCTAAAGAGACGTTATTCTTCTGTCACTCACACTTAAACAATGCCAAGAGCTGTTTAAGGGGAAAAGAAAATGAAGCACAATTAATAGAGAAGAACATAGGAAGGTGGGAGTAAGATATGGCCTTCTCAAAATTCTACATTTCATGTTTCTGCTGCCCACCAATGATCAATTCCGATCCTTCATCGCCAATGAAACAGTGAGATTTCAGATCACAAAATCTCCTGTTCTCACCATTAATTCCAGAATTAAAAGGGAGCTGCTACAAAGAGAATTTCCACTCTAGAGTTGCTTCAGGGCAGCCACGGAAGAGGAAATTCTTGCTAGAATTCCCATTATGAATTCTGAAGGCGTTTGAACTCTTCAGGGATATGATTAAATGGCTTTCAGCAAACCTGCTTGTTTCAGCTGGTTGACCCCACTAACTAGTGAACAGTTGAAAACACAGAGCTAAGGACACCCATAAGGATATATACCATCTCCATATTTGGACATCCAACATAATTTATCTAGTTGGGTTTTGCTGGATATTATTGCATGGTGCATCTAAGGAGCTTTGTGAAAGAGAACAAATGGAGAGGAAATCCACTTAATTTGTATAGGATTAAGGCAAACGAGTAGCAAAACCACAACATACAAGGACTTACCCCATAGACCAGTTCACCCACCATGCCATTCCACATTTTAGTCTCAGGATCCTTTGCTCCATACTTCCCATCAGGGACAATAGACAGGACATATTTAATCCCAACATGTTTTGCAATTTCGTAAGCAAGGTCAACACAATAGCCTTCGTATTTCTCATTCCCTTCCTTCTGGTCAGGAGACTGCTTGCGCATCACGTAGGGTGCTTCCTGGAAAATGACACAAGGAGAAAATAGGTTAGAAGGAGTGGGGGGAATGACTTCAAATGGAATAAACTTAGAGTGAACGGGGAGAAATCCAACCAAAGAAGCTGGAAGACCTTAGAACTAAGGAGAAATTTCCTTCCGGTGAGAACAATTAATTAATGGAACAGCTTGCCTCCTGAAATTTTGGGTGCTCTATTGCTTGAGGTTTTCATGAACAGATTGGACAGCTATTTGTCCAGAATGGCATAAGGCAGGGGGTTGAATTAGAAGGTCTCTGAGGTTCCTTTCAACCTTGTGAATTTAAATTATAAGTTCAAACATAAACCGGTTAAGGAAAACCTGATCTGTCTGCCAGTTCAGGAAGTATTCAGAACAATCAAAGTTTGAGAAAATCAAGTGCTGAGTAACCAATCCACATCATTGTTCAGAAAACTACATAGCCCTGTGTGTCCAGAAAGGCACCAAAGGTATCAAGGTTAGATAACAATGGCTAAAGGGAGGTGACAACTTACAAGGATGGTAGTCACCACAATGGTTCTGTTCTCCACTGAGGATGTATCGTTGGAAACACTAGGATCGATTGCAGGCACAAATCGCTCATATTCATTCCAGTAACCAGCCTATAGTTGAAGAGAGCATTGGCAAGTTAAGATAGTGAATTTGTGTTATTTATAGGTATATAGGTACTCAGATAGATGATATAGATAGATAGATAGATAGATAGATAGATAGATAGATAGATAGATAGATAGATAGATAGATAGATAGATAGATAGATAGATGAGAGAGAGAGAGAGAGAGAGAGAGAGAGAGAGAGAGAGAGAGAGAGAGAGAGAGAGAGAGAGAGAGAGAGAGAGAATGAACTATGGCTTACCTTTCGTGGCCCGCCAGGTCTCATTTCATACACATCAATCGTATAATTGGTTCTACGTCCATAGGTGTCAAACTGGATATTTCCTGTCATTCCTTGAACCTGAACCTTGACAATGATAAAGTTGCAACATAACAAGATACAGAAAGCAGCAGAGAAATTGGCATCCGTTCATTGGCCAATATGCAAGAACCACTGTTTCGTAAAAAGTCACTTTTCAGCATAGTACACAAAAAACATTGCATATTAGATAGATGGATCAATCTACAATTAGTCAATAAGTAAGATAAATAAGTGAAAAAAACTAAAGGTTCTGACAAGAAAAATATAGGTTGTCTATCCTCCAAATAAGATGATATAGTGCAGGATCCAATCTGAGTTGTTCACTAGGACCCAAGGTTTATTCTTCCAAGCTTTTGGGTTCATGCTGGAACCCATAATCTCTCTCCAGAATGTGTGCACTGTTGTATTTATATAGTGCCTGGTTGTGTGTAGAACAGCTCAATGCACACATTCTGGAGACAGAGAAGTTTCCGGAGGATGGGCTCCAGCACAAGCCCAAAAGCTTGGAAGAATAAACCTCTGGTTCTGGTGATCAGCTCAGATTGGATCCTGCAACGTTATCCTAGGACATGTACATTTACCTTCATTCACAAGATGATGTAGTGTAATTGTATGTGGGAAAGACTTTGGGAGAAGAGATAATGCCTAGAGAACTGTCAGATAAGAAACAGCACAGGCCAGAACTATATAGTGGGCAGAGCAAGAAGCTCAAAAGGGACCCTCTCTAAGTTCTCAGACTATAAAGATGGTGATGGGAGAATTGTACCCAATCACTCAGGGAGGGTTTATTCTGAAGTTCCTGCTCTCCCACTATGCAGCTGTGGGCTATGCTGTCTCTTATCTGATTTTTCTCTGTCTTTCTCCCTCTCCCAGGATCTTTCCCACTTCCAATACAGAGAAGTTGCCGTTGTTTAAATCCTCACCATCTTCAATGCTCTCTCAATATCAATCCCTTGGCTCCAAGGCACAGCTGGGTTTGCTAAACAATCTCCAGCACTTCCTCTCCGGGATACATCTACCCGCTGCCTTCGGAGGTACCGGAACGCTTCCGCTATAACAAGGATCGCATCATGGGTCAATGCAGATGTATACTAAAAGAGATGTAAAAGAGACAAGTAAATGAACTTCACCCTGTAAATGTTCCAAGTCTTTTTTTCCCCTCCTTAAACAATGTTGAGTAACAGAACCATGCTGGTGCAGTGGTTAGAATGCAGTATTGCAGGGTAACTCTGCTCACTGTCAGGTGTTCGATCCTAACTGTCTCAAGGTTGACTCAGCCTTCCATCTTTCCAAGATCAGTAAAATGAGGACCCAGATTGTTGGGGGCAATAGACTGACTCTGTAAACTGCTTAGAGAAGGCTGTAAAGTACTGTGAAGTGGTATAGAAGTCTAAGTGCTATTGCTAATATCACAATGCCTGTGTGAGTCCTATAAGGTAGACCAGACTATAAAATGAACACCATATAAGTCAGGTCTATTTTCATTGGAACAGAATCTTGCAAATCCCTTTCTTGGTCTTTGTGTGAACAAGGGAGGGGCATATCGGAGACATTTCTCAAATAGCAGGTTCAAGACCCTTTTATCGGACAATTACCTTGGTAATACCTCTTCCTCCTGTCCTTCAAGACCTTTCCCTGTACCCTTTACATTTGTTTAATTTTATTTTTTTTTAATTAAAAAAACAATTCGGAAAACTCTGAAGATCTCGTGTACAGTCTGTCTTTTTTTCAGATTTTAGCAAAACAGGTGCAGTTGCTTTAACGAGACCACTTAGTTAAAGTATCCAGCTGCTTTAACCAACATGAGAGAGGTTTTTCTGCTTGCCATCTTGGAACTGAGAAGTGCTCCTTCTGAATCTTTTTCTAAGTGTGCACAGCAAGCAATTACATAATAATAACCCCTTCACATTCCCAGAAAAGTTAAGTATCATTCTGAAATTAGACTATCGCTGAAAAAAGAAAGACAGGATGGGGAAAAAAACTGACATGACTTTTTTGCTTCTCATCTGTGCTACTTCAAAGCAGGGACATGAGTGTGCCAGGAGAAATATTAACCCTTGATATTGGTAACAATATAAAATTCTATTTTTTTAAAAAAAAGATTATTTACAACAGGGGTGTCAAACTGCCAGCCCACAGGCCAGATGCATTATAGCAGTGGTAGCGAACCTATGGCACGGGTGCCAGAGGTGGTACTCAGAGCCCTCTCTCTGGGCACGCGTGCCGTCGCCCCAGTCCTAGGCCTTCAGCTGGGTTTTATAAAACCTTTTCGCTTTAGGCCTCCACCGCCATGTGCAAAAAAAAAAAAAAAGGTTTAATCAGTCAATTTCAACTTCTTGCGGGAAAAAAAAAAGATCTTGCAAAGTTGGAATTGATTGATTGAACTTTTTAGTCCCACCCAGTCTGCCGTTACCACCACAGCCACACCCACCCAATGGGCCACACCCACCCGGCACTCGACGATGCATAAGTGGGTTTTGAGTTGCAGTTTGGGCACTCAGTCTCTAAAAGGTTCGCCATCACTGTATTATAGCAAAACTGTGCCCACCCCATTCCCGGCAATGGCAAAAAACTCGCAATACATCACGACACGTCACTTGACTTTGTGAATTTGACACCCTTGATTGACAAGAATCCCTAACAGACCAAAAGAACAGTTACAAAGAGCCATGGAATGCAAGAGCTGATGTAGATAAGAGGCGTCTTTCAATGTTATCCTGATTTATCCTTATTTATCCTCCTTATCCAAAAGGAGGTTGTTCTTTTTTACATCAGTTTTGAGAAGCTTTCACATTTCTTTAGAATACTAGTAGCTCTATCACAATCACATTCGCCAAATGTTAACACAGGCAGTAATCTACGGCACCATTTTCTCTCTTGGTGAGGCACGGGGACAAATTGATGTAGCAACCTCCTTTTGTTTTAAAAAATGAATTAACCAACATAGCTTCTCTGATTTTGAAACCTGAACAATTCTGAAGTCTTTTGCTGGGCTACATTTTGTATGAATTGATATATGCAGTTAGCAATAAATCTGTTTTTTTTTTTTTTAGCCTGAAATATTCTCACAGTATACTTCCATGTTTTTTTCATGCTGTTCAGAATTACAGTTCTCATCGACTTTATAAATCCGATAAACCTTCCCACTCACAGGAAGGTAAAAATCTATAAATGTTTTTTCCCATTCCCCCCCCCCAAAAAAACCCCAATGCCTCATATTTACTTCAAATAAAAAGATAGGAAACATTCTGAAATTAGAGATTTGTCTATTATTCATGCTGTATAAATTGTATTTTTCAGGGTCTGTATTCTGTATCTGTACACAGGTTATCCTTGACTTATAACCATTCTTTTAGCAACTATTCAAAGTTACAACTGCGCCGAAAAAAAAGTGACTTTAAAACTGATCCTCCGACTTATGACAATAACAGCATTTTCATGGTCATGTGATCACAATTTGGATGCTTGACATTTAGCATTAATTTATGATGGTTACAGCATCCTGGGGTCTTTTTTATTCGTCATTTGTGAATTTCCCACCCAGCTTTCAACAAGCAAAGTCAATGGAGGAAGCTGGATTTCCATAACAACCCTGTGATTCATTTAACAACCGCAGTGATTTACTGAACAATCATGGCAAAATGGTCATCAAATCAGGCAATAGCTGAGCAGTGGAAATTCTAGTCCCAACACGCCTCTTTAAATAACTGGGTTTCACATTAGACAAAATTATCCAGCCCTTGCGGCTAAAATTCATGGATGATTTACTAGAAATTCGCAAAGAGGTGACTACTTTGTACAGCCATCTTCACCCATTGGCCCAGAAGATGAATCAGCCTAATATAAGCCCCTGATTTCTAGAAAGGTGATTATACTGTACCTTGCTTTGCATTGCAAGGTATAATAGATGTCACCTGGATGGGAAGGTAGGAAGAAAAACTATAATGTTTTTTTGTCGTAAAAGAAATATCAGTTGGTCTGTTTTTGGAAAAGCAGATATGCCAGACCTTTATCATATTAAGTGAAATCAACCATTAATTATCAATAAATTACTGTACAATAAATTAAATTATCAAGAAATTGATTTATAACGGGTCCCTTAGCAATCGTTTGAAGTTACAATGGACCACCCCAAACTTTCAGCCTGGTTCCAAAGTTCTAATGGCCAGGCACACGCTGGCATACACACACACACACACAACACAAACAGATATGTGACCACATTTCACACCCTTGACAACCAACTTGCCTTTTAAGAAGTTTCTTGCTCTCAAAAGATGTTGACCACCACAAGCTCTCTTCTTCTTACTAGTCCAACCTAGAGACCGACCTACTGATTGCTTGTCTACTTAACTCAGAGATACGTTTCCTCCCCACTTTCCTTCATAACTTCCTATTCCTGGAAGGTTTTCGCGGGTGTTTGTATGTAGGTCTTTGGTTGTTCAGGTTTTCTCCCGCGTAAAATTGGAAGTGTCTTGGTGACGTTTCGACGAAGTCCCATTCGTCATCTTCAGGCTGGTGTTTTCAGCTTCGTGCTTCGACCACACATTGCTCCTCGAAGCACCAAGCTGAAAACACCAGCCTGAAGATGACGAATGGGACTTCATCGAAACGTCGCCAAGACACTTCCAATTTTTACGCAGGAGAAAACCCGAACAACCAAAGACCTACATATATATATGATCTGTCCAGCATAGGCTGTAACAGGCATCAGAGATGAAACGTCTACGTTTTGCTGGCTGTTCTTGCGCAAAGAACTTCAACTGTTGTTCTCCAGTCGCTGTCCAATTAAGCATTGTAGAAACCTGCAATTGTCTTTCTGCAACTTCCCCCCCCTTCCCAATTTTCCAGTCAGGCTGCCTCAATTATCAGAAACCATCCTGCCAGGCCTTCCACATCATACCGAGCGACAAATCTAATTTTCTGTTTTATTCATATGCTGCTAACAAATGCACGAACATGTGAAGCCAGTGAGGGAACGAGAGAGCGGATGAAATATTGAATAAATTAAAGCACCCAGGCTCTCATCTCTAGCCAATTTTATTTCCTAATCAAATATACTTTTTTTTTTTGCTCTGAGGGGTGGGTCTGTCCTTTCAATAAACACTCGTTCACGTTTTACAAATCCGAAGTGCTTCCCGGCATTTAGAGTACAAATAGTCTTTGACTTATGATCACAACTTGAGTTCAAAATTTCTGTTACGAAGCGAGACATTTGTTAAGTGGGTGACCACTGTTGTTAAGTGAGTCACTCCGGTTGTTAAGTTAGCAACAGGTGAAACTGGCTTCCCTCATGGACTTTGCTTGTCAGAAGGTCACAAAGAGAGATCACGTGACCCAGGGACACTGCCACCGTCATAAAGATGAGTCAGTTGCCAAGCGTTTGAATTTTGGTCACGTGACCCTGGGGATGCGGCAACAGTCGTATGTGTGAAAAGCCTCCGTAAGTCACGTTTTTCAGTGCTGTTGTAACTTTGAACGGTCATTAAATGAGCTGCTATAATCCGAGGACTGTCTGTATGTAAAGAGGAAGACTTTCCCCTGCATTTATATGTGGCGCCATCTTTTTCTTCCTCCCCCCCCCCCCGCCCTTTTCGGTGGCTATTTTCATTCGTGACTGGTTGCTGTCATTTATTATCATTGCCATTTATTAGTTCCTGTTGGTTTCAGGTGAGCTGGCGAAGGTTTTTAAATTGTTCTTTTTATTTTCTGGGCAAGCTGCTGGGAGTCATTTTCACGATGACAGGGTAGAGATAGATTTAATAAGTAAATAAAGAAACACAACAGCGAAAGGGTTCGTTTCGGCAGAAAAAGCTGCCTCCTAAATTAACTCCAGTCAAAGAGGATTAAAGGTAGGATTCAGAGCTCTTCTTTAAGGCAATGTGTGATCAACTTTGACTCATATCAGCTTCGGACAGACTTCCTCGTCCTCTGAAGCTTCTTACGGTGTTGGATTGAGACCCAGAAGCACCAGGCTGAAGCCCACCTTTAGCCACTCATGGGTGACTTAAGCCAGTCGCTCAGTCACAGCCCAACCAACTTCGTACTGTTGTGGTTGGAGAAGAAAGAAGTAGAGGGTGATGTGTATTCTAGTCTTGAACTCCTGAATAAAGGCAGGACACAAACCGAATCAAGCAATAACCAAGAAAATGGAGAGTTCTGTCCACAGACAAAAAAAACCCCGCAGTTCTTGAAGCGCACCTTCCTGAGTTAAGCAGCCGATAAAACATAAGAATTGCTCAGTCTGGGCTAATGCTTGTTGGATTTTACGCATGCTCAGTCTGGGCTAATGCCTGTTGGATTTTACGCATAACTGCTTTTTCAGGTTTGCGGTTGTTATGAAGCTGCCTGCTGGCGTCCCAGCATGATAGATGTGGCCAGAGGGAAGATGTCATGCTGTTCTTTCTTGTTGAGAAGAATAATTTGGGTTTCTCTCGTCCATTTGGGCTCTTTGATACTTGCATTATTTTGTTTTGTTTTCACATCCAAGAGCAAAAGTCACCATCCATGCCTATGGAGATTCTCTGTCATCCAGGTCAACTTTGTCCCAACGCTGCTTTTTTTTTTTTCCCCAAAGGCAACTGGACTTTCTTTGTTTTTCCAGGTAGACATTTTGCTTTTTATTCAAGAAGCTTCTTCAGTTCTGTGAAATGTTTTCAAAGAAAAACAAAGAAAGTCCAGATGCCTTTGGAAAAAGCACCGTCGGATCACCATACACGAACAGATGAATGGATGGATGGATTTATACTGTATCTTTCTACTTCGGTGAACATTTTAGCTCCTCAACCTCTCAAAGCAGTTCATAATCAATCCAGTTGTCTTCCTTTCTGTTGCTGTGTAAGGGGATTCCCAAATAATGCTATGGGTGCATCAATCCCACCCCATTTTCTTCGAGCTGACTCACAAAGAATGCACCTTGCAAGCTATCACTGGAGTAACTCACAGAATAGCAAAAATCCTGCCCGCCACCATTCCTCCGTTCCACAGAAAAGGGAAAATAAACTAAATAGCTGAACATACAGCTATTTATATTCAGCTGAACGTATTGAAGCAATTAGCTATGGGGAAAGTAGGATAGATGATCTACCCTGAATCAGATCATTTTATTATCTGCATCAGCCATTTCCAACTTGTTCCCTCCAGATTATTGAATTCCACTTCTGGATCAGGGTGTGTACAACCTCGGCAACTTCAAGACCTGTGGACTTCAACTCCTAGAATTGCTCAGCCAGCTCCCAGAGGAATTCTGGAAGTCATAAAGTTGCCAAGTTTGGACACCCCTGCTGTAGATAGATATTAGGAGAGTTGAATTTCAACATCTCTGAGAAGCATCAATTTGAAGAAATAAAGCAGCAGGGGGTGGCTTCCCAGGATTTCAAGGTGGACCACTGAAAACACCAGGACTGAACTGGTGACATTCCACCTTCAAAGCATAGCCTTGACTCACTGCAGCACAACATAGGTTGTTTGGGTTGTGTCAAGTCACTGCAGTTTGCAAGCCAAAGTGTAAGACTTATTAGAGGTTGTTGAACCAGGAATGTGGAGTCTTGTCTTCAACTAGTGCTAGATTATTTATTCAAAGCAAATAATAGTTTAGCACTCAACCCACAACATCTGCAGGTGAGCTAGAAGACTCCCAACAAATTTATGCCTTCTGTAAATGGTGATCCTTTCCTTCCCACCTCCACCCCATCTTCTTTCCAATAGTCTGCAACACCTACCTTTAATGGAGAATTTTTGGCTTCAGGAAATTCCCTTTCATCAAGTCTCACCCAACGCTGCATAAATTGTTGGACCAATGGGTTGTCATTATTAATAATCTGAAATCCGGTTACATTGGCCCCAGCCTGGACCACTTTTTCTACCGAGATGTCTGTAAAGCCCTTGGAAGAGAATGTAAACATTTGAGGGGTTGATTTCAGCTTAGAAGCAATCAAACACATCGTCCCTGACCTTGGGAAAAGAAACACAGGTCGAAATGTGACATTAATTTGTTGAGTCCAATTGGTGGTTTCCCCATTCTGATAATATATGCAGACATCTCTATGAAAAATTTGGAGACATATGATAACCTCAAAGGATCAATGCATTTTATTTTTGTGTTTATGAGGGTTTTTTGGGGGGGGAAGCAAATTAGGCAGAGTTATATTAAAAAGAAGAAAAGAAAACACTGGATTTTTGGGGGGGAATATGCATGTGTGCATGTGTGCGTATAGAGAACTTACCAGGTTAGCAAGCATGTAGTGATAACTTCTGGAATTTTTACTGAGGGCTGCAACCTGTGTAAAAGGAAAAGAAAAAAAAAGATGAAGCACTTAGCCGAATTTTTTTTTTTTTTCAATTTCAAGGGAAAGGAATTCTGGAAAAAAAAATGTTGATTTGAGACAATATATGCATGGATTCTACTACTGAAGCCCACAAACCAGCAAATGTATCAAAAAGACCAAAGTCAAGGAGAGTTTCCATGCGCATTCCAGTTTTAAATTAAAACTCCTTTGTAAAGAAACACATCTACCCATGTTTCCCTGAAAATAAGACCCGGCCTTACATTATTTTTTGCTCCAAAAGACGTGTTAGGATTTATTTTTTTGGTTAGATCTTATTTTGGGGGGAAATACAGAACTAAATGCATCCATTGGGCTGACGATCTTAACTGGGGCTTATTTTTGGGGTGGGGCTTATATTACCAGCATCCTGAAAAATCATGCTAGGGCTTATATTTTTGGTTGGGTCTTATTTTTGGGGAAAACGCAGTAATGGCGAAGCAGCTCTTAATGTGATGGAGAGCTGGGATTCCATGATCTTCTTGAGATGTTTAGCTCTACATGTAATCCTCGACTTACAACAGTCCATTTAATGGTCTTTCAAAGTCACAACAGCACTGAAAGAAAAGTGACTTAGGACCATTTTTCCTACGGTCAGGTCATCAACTGATTTGGCAACTGACACGTATTTATGATGGTTGCAGTGTCCTGGAGTCACGCGATCCCCTTTTGCAAACTTCTGACAAGCAAAGTCAGTGGGGGAAGCCCGATTCACTTAACAACTGGGTTATTAACTTGTCAACTGCAGTGACTTGACAAAAGTGGCAAGAAAAGTCACAAAATGGGACAAAACCCACTTAACAACTGTCCCGCTTAGCAAAAAAATGTTTTAGGCTCAATTGTGGTTGTACGTTGAGGACTACCTGTTCTTATAGATAAGAAATTCCATCCAAGTACTGAAGAAGCATCTCATTATCTAATCTTGCAGGGTCTTCTGTCAATAACCTGACGAAAAATAGAGTCTATACCAGGGGTAGGCAACCTTGGCTCTTTTATGACTCGTGGACTTCAACTCCCAGAATTCCTGAGCCAGCCATGCTGAGGGGAAAGGGGGAGGTTTCCAAGCTGAGCCATGCTGACTCAGGAATTCTGGGAGTTGAAGTCCACGAGTTATAAAAGAGCCAAGGTTGCCTACCCCTGATCTATATCACACAAGCTATTTTCTTGCTGTGTATCTAAGGACCACAATTCTTCTCACCAGGCTCCTGGGTGTACACATGCTGACAGCAACTTCCCAAATGGATTTCCATTATCGGATGACACTGACCCAGAAGTCATTGTATTGTACACTAATGGCCACATTACAAAACCATCTCAACATTTGTATTCATGCTTTCCAGTGCAGTATATTGGATTATCAGGCAAACATTAGAAGAATTTGCTTTAAATGCATCTAGTATTGCTGGAGGCTGATAATATGAAACAGCACAACGATGCGAGACGTGTCAGGTATCCATGGAGAAATTTCTATGAGTTGCTAAGGAATGAGACGTGTTGTTAAGAACTTTAAATACAACTGTTCACTTTTTTCCTAAAATGTGGCCTCTGGCACACAGATGCTGTCATCCTGGCAATCAATCGTGGGTGATTTTTTTTTTTTGACAAAAAGAAAAGTTAAACCATAAACATCACTGAGATAACATCAATGTTGTATTCTAAAGAAAAATTTCGCTTTAACTCAGCCTTACGAACTTGATGGTCATCAGAGGTGCTGGACTAAATTTTCCCTGAAAGACAACTTGGTGTAGTGGTTAAGGCATCAGACTAGAAACTAAGAGACCATGAGTTCTAGTCCTGCCTTAGGCACAAAGCCAGCTGCATGGCCTTGGGCCAGCTTCTCTTTCTCAGACCCTAGGAAGCAAGCTATGGCAAACCACTTCTGAAAACGTTGCCAAGAAAACTGCAGGGACTTGTCCAAGAAGTTGCCAGGAGTCAATCTGACACACACAAACACAAACACACAGACCCAGGTCTCCCATAATTCAGAGTGTGTCTTCTGATCCTACCCAGAACCTAACTGCTTCTAATCTTCCTCATCCTTGTAAGTAAGGGAAAAGAAAAGATATCTACTTCATGTTCTCCAGTTTCAGAAGAGATTGTCTTATCAACCATCATAGGACTGATGGCCTCTATGAGATTCTTCATCTTCAAAACTCTGACCGGATGGTGGGGAATGGAAGGACTTATATTTCTTGCAACAGCTGGTCATGTAAATCCTGCCATTCCCCACCATCCAGCCAGAGCTGAAGAAGCTTCTCAGATGACAAGTGAAAGGTCTTCAAAGAAAAACAAGAAGGTCCAGTTGCCTTTTGAAAAAACACCTTTGGGACAATCATGACCTCGATGACCGAGAATCTCCATAGACATGGGAGAAACAGCTTCTTTAAACCTGGTTTTTCAATCGGGGGGGGGGGGGAGAACAGCTTCTGCATCTCCAGAAATTATCCTTCATGTGTCATTCTCCTGCAGGGAGTTAAGTGGGAGCAATTTTATTTTATTTTTTTTGCAGCTGGTCTTTGAATGCTTGCTACCCACACACAGATCTGCAGCTTCCCCTTTCTTGCCTGCCCTAAAGTTCAGTCACTCCCGTGGGGTGAATGGAAAGCAAGCCATTAATTACTTTTTTCTGGCCAGCTCTGCCTGGATGGTGGGGAAGGGAAGGATTTATACTCCTTGCAGACAGCTGCTCGTTTGCCTTCTTTTGGAGAGTCGTTGAGGCCACTCGGAGGTTTACCTGTGTCCTCGGGGTCACCTGAGCAATGCAAACAGACAACCAGAGGTGGTTCTTTCTTCACTTTCCAAATCAGCTGAGGTCAAGTGCATCCTGCTGTTTCTTATTTCTGCTCTAATGAGAGTGGGCAGGGTTTCTTAACCCTGACAGATTTAAGATGAACGGACTTCATCTCCCAGAACTCCCCAGCCAGTTGACGTCCACCTGCTTTAAAATCAGTGGTGAGATTCAGCTGGTTCGCACCACTTCGGCAGAACCGAAGTGCAGTATATTTTTTTGTTGCCCAGGCCCAGAATGGACTTCCAGAAGCGGCATCCACGCAGATCTCTATTGGTAACCTTCCCAGCTGGGTCTTGTCAAGCAAACTCGACGGGAGAAGCCAGAATGGCTTAACGACCGCATGATTCACTTAAGAACTGCAGTGATTCATTTAATGATTGTGGCCAAACATATTGGAAAGTGGGGCACAACTCACCTAACCAATCTCTTGCTTAGCAACAGAAATTTTGGGCTCAGCAGCGGTCGTAAATCAAGGACCCCCTATATCCCTTTATTCTGCCTATCCCATCTGCTTCCTTCCCTTCTACAGATCGGCTCACCGCAACCCTACCTTGTTGTATCCACATTACAAAGCTCCCAACACTTTGCAGAGCTTCTGCAAAAGCTAATAGATTTCCAGCAGAGATTCAAAGGGCTGCACGCAGGATTAAACAACCTGGCTGCCGCATGAGAAAATGCAGCATTTCCAGGAGACGCGCAGCCCGTTTTTATTTTATTTTATTTCCTTCAAACAGAACTCCAAGCTTAATGGAACCAAAAATAGTCGCATTAAAAAAAAAAAAATCAGCCCATCCTTCTAGCTTAAGGCAAATGGCATGTAAGTCATCGAAAATATCTTGAGGATCTGAAGAGAAGGCAGGTTTTTCACAACCAATCAAACACAGTGGCATCAAGCCTTTGGGAGCAAATGAATTTAATAATAATTTAATCGTGGCTTCCCGCAGAACAGAAACACAGCAGAACGTGTAGATTGCTTCATCTGTTTGCACATTTTCTCATTTTTAAGCCCAGAGAAAACTGAGAGAGAGAGAGAGAGAGAGAGAGAGAGAGAGAGAGAGAGAGAGAGAGAGAGACGCTCCAGCAATCGCTGGAAGATTTGGTTGAGTGTCTCAGCTTTGCAGTCGCATTTATCTTCAAGGGAGGAGAAGATAAACAGAGAGAAAGATCATCTTCCTTCCTTCAGCATCAGCCTTAAAATATGATACTATATAAAGCAAATTTAAGGAATCGGGGCTAGGAATGACAGAAGTTACTGCCAATACTACTCACTTACTGTTAATACTGAGATTGAAAAACACAGATAGCTCAAGTTCTATCACTGGAAAGTCCATCACGGATAGTTCAGGATCCATCATTCTCACTTTTCTTAGGCAGAAGAAAGCCTACTCTGTTGCACAGACCAAAGCAGGAAGAGTTGTTGATTTGGACTGCCAGATCACCACCTCGCCTGTCCGCTACCAAATCTATCCTGATGTTTGGGACTTCAACTTGATCTGAATCCAAGCTTGATCTGCGTTTGAATACAGCAATTCATACTTTCTTGTTCTAAAGAAGTCTTTTTGGAGCCCCAATGTGAAATCTACTTTCCATTTTAGTAAAAACAAACAGCTCTTGGCTATGGTGGTGAGGGGATTGAGATAATACCTATCTAATTCTCCAGAGGTTGTGTGAAACATTAATTCCACAAACTCTCCTTTTTTTATTATATTTGGGGGGTTCCCCCCCTCTTCAGTTGGGTAAATTCTGTTGGAAGCAGTATCCAGAGTTGTAGCCTGCATGATCAGCCCCCCAACGGTTGTCTAGCAAAAGATAGAACTTCAGAACATCCTGCTTCCCTCAAGTATCTTTAACCACAGAGATCTAAGCAGTGTTTTGAAAATTATCTTATGAGATATGGAGTCTTAAGCTGGAAAGAATGAAGCCAAAGTGTCAAGCGCAGGAAAAATCAGAAGCCAAGGTGGTTCAAATGAATATATGTAATATAATGCTATCTGCAAGAATCTTTAGAAGGCCAGATCCTGAAGTTGAAACTCAAGTACTTTGGCCATCTAATGAGAAGGAAGGATTCACTGGAGAAGAGCCTAATGCTGGGAAAGATTGAGGGCAATAGAAGAAGGGGACGACAGAGAATGAGATGGCTGGATGGAGTCACTGAAGCAGTAGGTGTGAATTTAAATGGACTCCAAAAGATGGTAGAGGACAGGAAGACCTGGAGGAACGTTGTCAATGGGGTCGCGATGGGTCGGACATGACTTCGCAATTAACAACAACAACAAGAAGAAGAAGAATCTGAACTACTAGGGGTCAAAGCAAATTGGCAGTAGATAAGAGTCAACAGAATTCAAGGTGGGCTGGACTTAGATCTCTTGTGGGTATGAAAGGAGACTGATGATGCATTTGACCCTTCCCTCTTGCTCAGCCTGGTCATTTCCTACACAGAGCTTATGGCAGAATATGCTAAATTGCTCAGCCTAAGCTAACAAGTCTTGACTTCTATTAGCCCCAAAGAAAATAGTTGCTCTTCAAGTTGCAACCAGGACCATCAGAAAGTCACGATCATAGACCGCAAATCCTTGGGTTTCTCAACTTGGATCCGAAATAAGCAGGCCTGTCTCTACTTTTCCCTTCTAGCTCCTAGTGGCTGCATGGAGAAGCCCTTGTAGTTTCCTTTGGCTCATTACCAATCTGTAATATTGTCCTCTTCAGAGATGAATTTTTGATTTCCCAGTCTAGAGGTGAAAATGACAACTAGTTGGCTTAATGTAGTCCTTAACTTACAACAGTTCATTCAGTGACCATTCAAAGTTACAACAGCCCTGAAAAAAAGTGACTTATGGCCATTTTTCAAAGTTACGACCTTTGTAGGATCCCAATGATCACGTGATCAAAATTCAGAGGCTGGGCAACCGGTTCATATTTTACGACCGTTGCAGTGTCCCAAGGTCAGATGATTCCCTTTGACGACCCTCTGACAAGCAAAGTCAATGGGGGAAAGCCAGATTCACTTAATGACCAGGTTACTAACTTATCAACGGCAGTGATTCACTTAACAACAGTGGCAAGAGAGGTCGTAACATGGGGGCAAAATTCACTTAACAAACGTCTCACATGACAACAGAAATGTTGGGCTCAGTTGCGTCAGGCAGCAGGAAACAAAACAAACTTTTGAAGGATATATAAAAATGTAGATCTCCAGTAGAGTTTGATTTGACTGTCAGATGTGGACTTCAACTGTCAGATTCCTCCATCCAGCAATGCTCATTGGGGAATTCTGGGAGTAGAAGAATCTTTAAGTTCCTAAGGTTGAGAAACCCAGATGTAAACCAAACCTGCCCACTTGCTAACAAATGCTAACTTTTTGCACTCCAGCTCCAGAAGAAATACTATCTTGGACCTGGTAATAATAATTATTATTTTATTTTATTTTGCAATCTTGTTGCGTACTGCAAAATGTAAACCAGGCATCCAAGCTACCGAAGGAGATTAATCCTAGAGCTTAATTGGAAACCGAGTGCTGTCAAAATCATTCCTTCCAATTTATTTAAAACGGAGAAGACTCGCCGATCAGTGCCCCCCAGTCAATTATATCACTGACTTGAAATGAATTTCTTAATATTAGATGAAGTTCCAGGCTGCAGTTCCTCAGAATGAAAGTTTTGCCGAATAAAATTGATGCAGTTGGGCTGTCCGTATTTTTCTTCCAGATAACTCCAAGACATAAAGCTGGAGTTCAGTTTATTTATAACTGCAGCCTGCCTGGCGCTTCACAAAACAGTAGGGACGGGCCCCCTATGCAGTGGGTTTATAAAATATTTAAACCATCCATAAATAATGTTTAAACCCATTTGCAGCCTAGAATATTTAAACTTTTTATAAATAATTTCCATCCGATGACATCCTAGCTTGCCAGCGAGCTAATTTTAAAAATAAAGGGGTTCCTTTTTTCCTCCTACCTTAAGACAATAATCCATTGTACCCGATGTATGCACAGATCGGAAATTTATACACTGAGATACATGCGGCCTGCGATCCAAGCGCAACTCTTACGAAATGAAAATAGAAATTAGAATTTTTCCTCCACTGGTGTGCAGGAGTTGAAAAGATCTTGGGTAGGGGAAGAGACCCTGGGGGGGGGACACAGTTCCTTTGTAAAGCCAATGAAGTATGAGCATAAAGTGGCCTTTAAAGCTCCTTATGGCATAGGTCCAGGATATGGGTGGCACAGTGGCTCAGTGGCTAAGATGCTGGACTTGTCAGCTGGAAAACTGACAGCTCAGGTTCAAGACCCGAGCTCCTCACAACGAGGTGAGCTCCCGTCCTCATCTCAGCTCCTGCCAACCTAGTAGTTCAAAAGCTACTGTGTGAATAGATAAATAGGTACCACTTCATTCCTCCCTCCTTCCCTCTCTTCCTTCCTTCCTTCTTTCCTCCTTCTCTCCCTCCTCCCTCCCTTCCTTCCTCCCTCCCTCCCTCCTTCCTTCTTTCTTTCCTCCCTCCTCCCTCCCTCCCTCCTCCCTCCCTCCTTCCTCCCTCCCTCCCTCCCTCCTTCCTTCTTTCCTCCCTCCTCCCTCCCTTCCTCCCTCCCTCCCTCCTTCCTTCCCTCCTTCCTTCCTTCCTTGCTTCTTCCTCCCTCCCTCCCTTCCTCCTCCTCCCCTTCCTTCCTTCCTTCCTTCCTTCCTTCCTTCCTTCCTTCCTTCCTTCCTTCCTTCCTTCTATTGGCTGCCTGTTTTACTACAGGGTAACTTTATCATGCTGTTTTCTTACTTTTTTTTACCGTATAATAAAAACTGCAATTGAGTGTGGTGTGTTCAGAAGGATAAGGATTTGAGAAAGAGATTTCCCAAGGCCAAATCTCATTTTTTCTTTCCAGCACATAAAACATTGGTGACAAGATGCTGGATCTGAGAACAGAGAGCCTCAGAGACATCCTTCCAAGTGATTCGTTGTTTCCTGCATTGTTTCCTGTGCACCCCTCACTGTGTTTCCAAATCTCCACCAGCCTTGGGGTCAACCACGCTGACTTTCCACCCCCAGCTTCTCTATTCCAGATACTACTAATGGGAGTTGAAGGCTGACCTTTGCTAGAATTTGGAGCTGAGTATCCAGCTGGGAAGAGTATCAAGGGCTAATCACAGTGGAGCATACATCCAAGTGAAAGACACAAAACAGAGAAATTACTCCAGATACCTTGCTCAAAAGGCAAACATTCCTGATACAGTTCAGGTGCAAAAAAGTAAAGGGAAGCAACAACAAATGTCTCTCAAAAACAGCAACACTGACTCTCCTTTGAGGAGGACCAGGAACACCTAAATAAAAGCAGGACGTTCTTTCCCCCATCCAGACGACGTTCCCTAAGGCAATGGGCAACGTTCATCCTAAGGAGGTATGCAAGAAATACGCCCGACCAAGAAGCAAAACCATGGCTGGAGCTCACCTGTTCCAAAATGACGTTTATTCTTTCCACTTCACAATCTATCAAGTATTTCTTCTCTTGCCGCTTGTCCATTTCCTCAATGATCGCCTTAAACTCCTGAACATCTTTGATGTTTCCCACGGATCGGGCCGTCACTTGCCAATTATTCTGCACAGCAGCTTCCATAATAGCTTGGAGGATGGAAAAACCTAGGGCAAAGGAAAACAAGAGGGTGAGAGGAGTTAAAATAAATGGAAACTCAACTTTTCTGGTTTTAAAGAAACCCTTACTCAGAAGATTGATCACCACGAAATGGGGCCCTAGGCTGGGGAGTTAAAAACAATCCCCTCCTCCAGTTCTAGGCTGAGCATGAGTGCTCTAAGTAGTAAAGCACTAGTAAAGCCAAGCAGAAACAGCAAAACAGAGGTGACAAGCATCCAAGTCTTAATTTTTTGATAACAACTACCAGGACCCGGATAGGAGTAGGTGACTGCATGTTCTCCAGATAGCAATAGCCCTAGCAATAGCACTTAGACTTACATATTGTTTCATAGTGCTTTACAGCATTCTCCGAGCAGTTTACAGAGTCAGCATATTGCCCCTAACAAACTGGATCCTCATTTTACTGAGCTCGGAAAAATGGGAGGCTGAGTCAACCTTGAGCTGGTCAGGATTGAACTCCAGGCAGTGGGCAGAGTTAAGGAAGGAAGGAAGGAAGGAATGAAGAAAGGAAGGAAGGAAGGAAGGAAGGAAGGAAGGAAGGAAGGAAGGAAGGAAGGAAGGAATAGACTTATATGGCACTTCATAGTGCTTTTCAGCCCTCTCTAAGCGGTTTGCAGAGTCAGCCTCTTGCCCCCAACAATCTGGGTCCTCGTTTTACCAACCTCGGAAGGATGGAAAGCTGAGTTATCCTTGAGCCAGTCAGGATCGAACTCCTGGCAGTGGCAGAGTTAGCCTGCAATATTGCATTCTAACCACTGGGTCACCAAGCAGTGGTGGACACCAGCTTCCCAATCCCTTACCATTGGTCAAGCTATCTAGGACTGGGTGGGAATTAAAGTCCCAAATGTCTGGCGGAAACAAAGATGCTTTAATCTTGTACTCATCCTGACTTACCCTTCCATCACGGTCCTAGGTTACCAGACTTCCCAACCGGAGCAGAATGAGAAGCAATGAAAGGCTTTAAAATGGCACAGACTACATTCCCAGATATAGGAAAATGCCAATTAAGTTATTACGGTGCATATCCAAGGCATAAAATAAGGGGCCCTGTGCTTTCACCGAGATTCAATTTTTTTTTTAATTTCATGTGGTGTGTTTTTTAAAAAAGGTAATCATATTAAATAACACTTCTAAGGCTCCCATTAAGGTAATATCGACTCATTTAGCCATTTCAACAGAGCAGAAAGGAAAGCGGAGAAGGAACAAAGCGAGTCACAGTGGGAAGTTTATGCTTGCAAGTGGGCAATTCAGTTCTCATGAACAATGGAGGCTGGGATTTAAGCAGATTGAGTCAAACTCTGGAGAGTTGACTGCAGAGCCACTGGGAAATTTCTCCTTTGAAGGCTATCTATCTGGAACTTTCTTTCTTTCTTTCTTTCTTTCTTTCTTTCTTTCTTTCTTTCTTTCTTTCTTTCTTTCTTTCTTTCTTTCTTTCTTTCTTTCCCCTTATAGCAGAGGTCTCCAACCTTTTGGATACCAGGTACTGGTTCTGTGGAGAGGTTTTTCCGTGGACCAGAGGGGGTGTAGTTTTGTATGCTGCCTGCATCCCGCAGATGGGGCTTTGTTTGTTTGTGCGGATCGGTTGCTGGCATGCCGCAGCCCAGTACTGGTCCACAGACCAGGGGTTGGGGACCCCTGCCTTATAGGACACTCAAAGTTAGAAATCCATTGCCTGTTGACACAGAGAGTTTCTCTGCTACCACGAGGCTATCATTTTTCCATACAAGGATGGAGTATCTTTTGTTCAGCTGATGTTGTCATTGCTGATGTTGACTGGAGATGAGAGCAGTTGCAAATTTATGGAGCTGACTCATCCCTTGTCCTGTCTCAGCTAGACTACTATTATTTACTTTCCCCTGACCTCTCCTTGAAGATGATGGAGAAGATACATTAAAAAGCAAACCACCCAAATACTTCATATCTCATCTGGATGTATTCCAGAGGTCTTACTGACTACAGGGAATCCTGCCCGCCCAATCAATATGTGGCAACTTTTTCACAGTTTAGTACTGAGGTGAGATTTCACCCTCAGGTGCTAATGGTTGCTTTTTTTGCCCTTTGCAAAAGGGATCCAATCGCCTGCTCTTTGAAGCACAGCCTATTTCAAATGATAACTTTTGAGCAAGGTTTTCAGGCTCCCTTAATGATATCTTGACTTTTGCAGTTCGGTGGTTCTTAGATCTTCATGAGTTGCACTTTATTACCTCACAATTAACACATGTTGTGCTTGGGAATACAGTCCGTCTTCCTCACTCTCCAGAGAGGGGCAAAACAGAACATCTACATATGTATAAGACAATGAATTCAGTCTTCCTTAACATCGTATTTTACAAAGATGGCTGTGATGTGTGAGACAACATTACAATTATGCTACATGTCAGAGAATGAGTAAGTACAAGGCTTGGTTACTCATCAGCTTACAAATGACTCATTTGATAGCTGAAAACGCCGAGTGCAATTAAAGTTGAAATTTACATCTTTTTTTTTTTAAACCAAGGGGAGAAAGATTGCTGTTTTACTATGTGTACTTTAAAAGCATTGAATACTGTACTTCTTGTCCTTAAGACAACCTTCAAATGAAGTTGAAGGCCCATGAGTCTTAAAAACGAAGACACGATCACCCATACAATGCACGATTTCCATGCAAATGTTCCTGAAAAGCTTCGGAATCCTCCATAAAAATTTAGTGTCAGGAGGTGGAATAGATACTACAAGTAGTCCTCAATTTACTTAGTGACCATTCAAAGTTACAATGGCACTGAAAATAATGACATAGTAATGCTTCTTGTTCTCCCTCTGGCAGGGATGGGCCAAATAAACTCACACAAGAAGCACATAAGCACACAAATCATGCTTGATCTAAGATCACAGAGCGGCGTTACTGCCTACGGAAGGCAACCAAGCGAATGAGCGAGCCAGTGAAAGCTTTCCATGGAATGGCTACAGTGACACATATCTGCAGGAGAACGCAATTTTTATGACAGGCCCTGTCCTATTCCCGGAGAGCAGAATGGAGATTAGCCTTTTCTCCCTAACCTTCCTCCGCCGGCAACATATTTCCACTGCCCAGAGAAAGAAGGGTTCAGAAGAGAAAGACATGGATGGTGGGCGTCCAGGCTGCTCCTGTTTGAAGCTCCACACAATTATGGAAGGAGAAGGGACTTCAAAGAAGTAATTGGACAGGGAAGATATCAATAGAGCTACCCTCTTAGGCTAAATGATATCTGCTTGGGTAGGCCTAGTTTAATGAAAAGAAGAACTAGGGGTGACATGATAGCAGTGTTCCAATATTTGGGGGGCTGCCACAAAGAAGAGGAGGGGGTCAACCTATTCTCCAAAGCAACTGAAGGCAAGACAAGAAGTCATGGATGGAAACTAATCAAGGAGAGAAGCAACCTAGAACTAAGGAGAAACTTCCTGACAGTGAGAACAATTAACCAGTGGAATGGCTTGCCTCCAGAAGCTGTGGGTGCTCCATCACTGGAGGCTTTTAAGAAGAAATTGGACATCCATTTGTCTGACATGGTTTAGGATCTCCTGCTTGAGCAGGCGATTGGACTAGAAGACCTCCAAGGTCCCTTCCAAGTCTGTTATTCTGAAGTTCCACACAATTATGGAAGAACAAGGGTCCTTAAGAAGTACTTGGACAAGAACGATATAAGTAAAGCTAACGTCTTACGTTAAACAACATCTACTTGTTCAGGAGCAGCCAGGTTGAAGGACAAGTCCTCTTTTTGTCACAAGTTGATGTGCCTCCACCCCTTGCCAGCAAGATAGAAGGAATTGTCTGTTTTCTTGAGATAATGTACCGCCGAGTCCTCTGAACAGGATTTGGGTTTGTTTATTTTTCTTTCTTTGACTTTCTTTAACTTCCACAGTGGACAATATCAGGGATGTGGTGACATCATAGCAGGAGCAGAATTTACTTTTGCTGCCATTTGATGAAGGCTGGAAAGCTTAGGGGGATTAATCCAAGTAGAGATGTAAAGATTATTCCAGGTTTGATTTATATTTTAGAGCGAAGGAGGGGGAGAGAGAGGGACAGATTGGGGGAAAGGAAAGGTCGGTGCTGATGTTCAGCATTGTAGCCAGATATCAGAAATGTGACTTTGGAGGCACCTCAAATGATAAAAATGGGTAGGGTCTTCATGTGGCCTACAGAATAACAGAAGGGACTTTGGAGGTCTTCTAGTCCCACCCCTTGCTCAGGCAGGAAACTCTATACCATTTCAGACAAATGGTTGTCCAATCTCTTCTTGAAAACTTCCAGTGATGGAGCACTCACTGCTTCCAGAGGCAAGTTGTTCCACTGGTTAATTGTTCTGACTATCAGGAAGTTTCTCCTTAGTTCTAGGTTACTTCTCTCTTTGGTTAGTTTCCATCCGTTGCTTCTCGTCCTGCCTTCAGATGCTTTGGAGAATAGCTTGACTCCCTCTTCTTTGGGGCAGCCCCTGAGATATTGGAAAACTGCTGTCATGTCCCCACTAATGTTTGTTGATTTCTCCTGATGTAGATATATATTGTGCAGGCAGGATTTTAGGCTGATTTGGAAAAGGAACTTAGGTCATTCTGCAAGGACACTCTCTGTGGCACAACCTTGTATCGTGAAAAAATATGACATCAGTTGATACTTGCTATGAAGAGCTCACAACATACTTGTCAATTTGGCAAGTGCAAAATCACAAAGGGGAGGCTGGGAAAAAAAAACTGGTGTCGGCTGGCGCCGAAGTGGAGATGCAAATGAGGATATGCCAGCTCCTGTTTATGTATTTATGTAAGGAAAATGGATCTAATTAGGAATCCTGCAGTTAGTAATTAGCGGGTTGGAGGACAATCCCAGGGTCGCTGGAGGAGACAGTTGATGGCTGTTCTGGGAAGGCTGAAAGCTTGAAGTCAGGAACTGCAAAGCTCTGTAATCAGGTAGCTTTCAGCAGGAGGTAAGCAGCTGAAGTCTGTTGAAAGACTTTCAAAAGATACATCCAAAGAA